GCACCAAATTTCGTGGTTTGAACGCCACAATATCCGCGACCCCCGGTCCCCCCCGGTCGAAAAATACACAAATGGGTATCCGCGTATACCTTGACACAACGGACGATTTCCGCCGCGTAACGAAATACTTGCGCGAAAATAAGATAGGTTTTCACACCTACTCGTTGCCCGAAGAACGCAAGCTTCGGGTAGTTATCAAGGGCGTCCCCAAACAGTCGGATGTCGATAAGGCGAAAACCGACATCCGCACTCAGGGATACCCTGTACATGCCGTCCGACGCCTCAGACACCCCAGAACCCGTGTCCCTATGGACATGGTGATGGTTGAACTTGACCCTACCCCGGAAGGTAAGGCCATCTTCAACCTGAAGAGGGTCTGTGGGCTCAGCGACCTCGTGATCGAACCGCGAAGATCGGGAGTTGTGGCGCAGTGCCACAACTGCCAACACTATGGTCACACGGCTAATAATTGTTTCGCTCACCCTAGGTGCGTCAAATGCACCGATTTGACCACGGCACGCCCGATTGTACGCGGCCAAAAGATTGCGCAAATCCACCGGACTGCGTTAATTGTCATACCACCGGCCACCCGGCTAGCTACAGGGGCTGCGCTAAGGCCCCATAAACTCCCGCGAGAAAAGCTCCCGCGAAATCTACTTTGCCCAAACCCGCGCCCGTGAAATACGTTCCCGCGCCCGTACCCGTCGTAAACGCCTGGGTGAAACTCCAGGTGGCCGCGCAGGTAGTTGCGCCCCCGGTCGCCTCATGACCAATCGCTCAATCGCAGCCCGCCTATCAAACGGCGCCGACGCCGCAGGTGCAGTCGACACCGTCGGTTTTCGCCGAAAACAAGGACGACCCGTTCGCCCAAATTGCCAACATCTGCGCATTATTAGACCGCATTAATAGACAAGAACTCGCCGTATTGTCCGCTAAAATAGCGGCCGCCACATTTGGCAACGCGCGATTTAAAGCCATTAGCGAACATAAAATGCTTGTAGAAGCTCTCTGGGCTTTTACATGACAACCATAAACTTAATAGTCCGCGCAATAAAACCGCGCTCCGCCGCGTCGTTAGTTAGAACTCATAAAAATCTTTAATGGGAAGTACAACCGCAGGTAGAACAAAACCTCGGGCTCTGGTTGTTTCGTATTTCAACGCAAACGGTATTAAGGGTCAAAGGTACGAAATCTGAGATTTCCTTCGCGATTATAATGTAGATATTTTTCTAGTGCAAGAGACCTTCTTAAAACCTAGTGTTCGCGATCCCAGAATCGCAAACTACAACATAGTCCGCCATGACCGGTTAGCAAACCGTCTGGGAGGCACCTTAATTTATTACAAACGGTCCTTGCACTGTAGCCCGCTCGACATTCCAGAGCTAAGCCATTTGGAGGCACCCGCGTGTAGGTTAGTGCTCACCGGCCATAGGCCGCTTGTACTAGTCTCAGCCTACCTCTCGGGGAACAAAACCTTATTACAAAGGGACCTAGATACGCTACTCAACTTAGGCCCTTCCGTGATAATTGCAGGAGATCTAACCTGAAAAACGGCTCATAGCTTATCCGATAATTTAAACTTTAGCATAATTGCTCCTGCGACTCTCACTAGGTATCCTACGGTGGACAACTACCAACACGCGACACCGAGTATCCTAGATATCATGATATTCAAGGAGGTCTCGCTCGACATCGAGTCGATAGAGACAATCCATGAACTAGATTCAGATCACAGGCCCGTCCTGTGTAAACTGGGCCAGAACGCCGGCGCGGTCCCTCCGACCAAATCCGTAGTGGACTGGCATCGTCTTGAGGTCAAACTCAAGGCCTTGGACCCCCAAGACGATAGCTACATTCGATGACGCACATCGAGCGATAGCAAGTCTCTGAGAAACCATCACTTCCACAGTCGCAGACTCGGAACGGACGGTTAAACTGTCGGGCGACCGACGGTTTAACTTTCCGCCCCACCTGCGACTGCTAATTAGGCAGAAAAATGCAGCCAAACGCGCTTTCGACTGATACCGATCGGAATCGAACCGAATCGAAAGTCAAAGATCGTGTATCGGAACACCGATATACAACGTGGGATACTCTCCTAGAGGACATCGAGCCATCGCACACCGCCTACTGGCGGTTGGCCCACAGTCTGAAAGCAGACCCCCGCGAATCTCTACCACCGTTAGTTACACCTAATAGCGCTTCAGTAGCTCTAGATGACTCAGAAAAAGCCGAATGCCTTGCGGAAAACCTAGAGCAGCAATGTACGCCATCGCGCGAACACATCGATACAGCCCACCTAACGGAGGTGGACCGCGTAATCGAGATTAGGGCTGCGCTTCCACCGGAAGGCGATCCTTTGAATTCAGTGACCCCCGAAGAGGTTCAAGATATTATTAAAAACTTAAAACCCAAATCCGGCCCGGGCCCAGATAATATTACTAACAAAATTCTTAAAGCTCTCCCTGGGCCGCTTATCTGTTTACTGGCGACCATTTACAATACTTTACTCTCCAGTTGCTCTTTTCCGGACGACTGGAAGGAAGCCAGGGTTATCGGCATTCGCAAGCCTAATAAACCACCCAACCAGCCCTCTAGTTATCGTCCCATCAGCCTCCTCAGTTGCCTGGGGAAGCTCTACGAGCGGCTTTTATTAAACAGGCTCAATGAGCACGTGTTTTCCAACGGCCTTCTGCCGGCGGAACAATTCGGCTTTCCAGCTAGACATTCCTGTCCCGATCAACTATTCCGCCTAACGGAACATATCCTAAAAGGCCTAAATCACCCTAAACATATTAGTACAGGGGCTCTTTTCTTCGATGTCGCAAAAGCATTCGACAAGGTCTGGCACAACGGCTTGCTTTACAAGCTGTAAACACTCAAAGTGCCAGATAGGCTCGTACACACCATCCGGGCCTTCCTGTCGAACCGCTCTTTTCGATATCGAGTTGAAAGCACCCTCTCCACAAGCCGCCGCCTCACGGCCGGCGTACCACAAGGCTCCTGCCTCTCACGCTCTACACGAGCGATATACCTAAAGACCCCCACGTCAATCTCGCGCTTTTTGCGGATGACACGGCGCTCTTTTATTCAGACCGCAACCTTCGACAACTAACCACTCGACCCCAAAGCGCTGCCGACCACCTCTGCGATTGGTTCCGCAAATGGAGAATAGAAATAAATCCCGAAAAGAGTGTGGCGATTAACTTCACACGAAGTACTTACCCGTCACATCTTTATAATGGCCCTCGTCAATGCAGAAAGTTGGGGCAAATATCCCTTTATGGCCAACCGCTCCCCTGGGAGAAAAAGGTCAAATACTTAGGAGTCACTTTCGACTCGTGTATGTCATTTACTACTTACATTACTAACGTTCACAATAGAGCCGCGTTCGTCTCCGGCCGGCTACACAATTTAACTAACGCTAAAAGTAAAATGCCCTTAAGGCACAAATTATTATTATATAAGACCTGCGTACGACCTATTATGTCTTACGCATGCATGACCTTCGCCCACACGCACCCTACTCGCTTGTACAAGTTGCAAATAGTACAAAACAAGTTCATCCGCCGCGCAACCGGTGTGCAGTGGTATCAACGCAACGTCGACCTGCACAGCGATTGCAGACTCCCGACGATTCGCGAATATTTTAAAGACCTGACCAAACGGTTCTTCGATAGAGCCGAACATCATCCCAACCCTCTGGTGGTAAGCGCAGCAAATTACCAACCCGACACAAACGCTAAAGTCAACAAGCGTCGCCCGCGAAATGGCCTCATCGACCCGATCGAGGAAGGGGACTTAGACACGCCGGACCCACCGCCTTAGGTCCCGCCGGACAACACTACACCCACAGTTAGTGCAACAACAAACACACTAGTTCGCCCTCGCCTCCGAGCACGGCGAGACCAACACAACGCACGTACACAAGGTACACCCGCGTTTCGGGGCGGTTCTCACCGCCCCCAGCCACCGATTAGCTAATTGCACAGTCGACGGCCATCGGGGTTTCGGTCCGAACCACGACCTCAATGGCTCTTAGATGACACACCATAGTTAAACGCACGCATGATCACATGCGTGGCCCTACCCACAGCGGAGGGCCCAAGCCCGTGGGTTCTGGCTAGCCCACCGATTCCGCGTCAGATGAAGCTTTAATAGTCTCGGGACTGAAAGCAAAAACATCAGTTAATACAAGATACAAGAAGACGAGAACAACTTGCGTCTTCGAATGTGTCAAAAGCCAAAAATTGATATATTTTAACGAATAATGGAAAAACAAGTATGTTTCATGTGAGGTCTTTGATTCTGTCATTGTTTCTGTGTAACAAATAAATTGTTATGTCTCCTGCTATCTCAATCAAAGACGTAGTACTGTCATCCCACACTCAGCAGCATTATATCCCTTTCACTATTTACATGCATACTGAAAAACACATGCATACTAAAAATATTGCATTTACTTTTATATATATATATATATATATATATATATATATATATATATATATATATATATATATATATATAATTATACTGAAATAATCTTTTACAACAAGATCAATCAATTTCATAAAGTGTTAAGAAAATTGACGATTGAAAGATTGAATTAAATGACTGCACTCTTGGCGCCATAAATATTACAGTTTGTACACTAAAACCAGTTTGAAAGTTACGTTTAGGAACGAATACAGCTTAAAAAATAATTGGTTCGTAAATGGACAGTTGTCAACTCTACGTCACATAGTCATTGTAGGACTCCTGTTCAGCGGACACCCGCTAAACGAGAAACGGTAACATCCCTAACACTTTACACAAACAAAAAACCGTTATCACCCACTTTATATATAGTTTCATAGGACAGCACACTCTCATTTCGTGATAGATTATTGTGTAGTGAAAGATTGATACTCAATATTGTTATTATGACCTTTTTTGAATAATATCACTATTTCCCAAAATTTAATTACTCTTAATAGTTGAATCATCGTTTTCTTAAAATGAATAAGATAGCTTTCTGGTTCATCATAGTTTCCTTAATTGTGGCCGTTGCCGCCTTTTCAGTCTATGAAGAAGAATTTAACAACAAAGACATTGATGCTGATTTTGAAGAAGGAACAGGAGAAACGGAAAGAAAAGGAAAAATATGTATGTATTCTTCCACAGTTATTATGTTCGAAAATTAGTAGATATTTGTTTAGAAAATTAACAGCCGTCAAATACTTATTAAACTTTTAGCTTCATTAATCGTAGTCGCCAAAGCGAATGCTATATCTAAAGTATTAAGGATAATTTAAGATATATTTTTCTTATTTAAAGATGCCCAACGTTATGTATACATTTATAGAATGATTCATGTTTTCTGCCTCTATGAAACCATCATCATGCAATAAATTAAATAAAAAATAGAATTAGTATTATATTTTTGTATCCATACGTATGCGCCTAACTTGGTCTTCAATTTTTATTATGGTAAGGCTAGAAATCACTTAAAATATAATTTTATTGCCTCTTCAAAATTATTACAAACATTTCATATAAATGGTAAGGAAAATATAACTTTCAGGCTATAACAAAAATAGAAAACGAAGCAAATAGTTAAGGGAAGTTCAAGGTCATTCGTGACCGTAACTCATTGTCCGAGCGCTCGCTTTTCAATTGGTGCCGGAATAAATGTGTTGACTAATCAAGTACTTAGCGTGAAGGAAAACATCTTGAGAAAACCTGTATATTTCCTATATAATGTGCTATTTACTATATTCTATATTGCTGTAATTAAAAAAAAAATATTCCTAGATATGTGAAGTCTGCCAATCCGCAGTGGAGTCGCGTAGTGGACTATGCCCTAATATCTAATATTCTCTGTACAGAGGAAGCCTTGCTCAGTAGTAGTATACAGCGTGTCGTTACCATCGCGACAATAAATGAATACACGTCTAACGCTACTTGCCAATAATCATAAAAAAATGTTAACGTTAAACAAAATCCATAATTAAAAAAAATATATATTTTTCAAACAAACTAATTAAGTAAAAAAGAAACAAAATTTATAACATCCTATACAACTCGCGCCACAGCGTCGGATTACAAGCCTCTCCTTATGTATGTTTTGTCTCTTTTAAATTCATTCAACCCATTCATATGCTTTGTGACCTTTACAAATGAACTTTACGTTACGCTTTTATAGGTAAGGGTGTTCTAAAATTCTTTGTTTTGGAAAATTTAATAACTCTGTAAATATTGATGTTTAAAAAAGTAAATGTTTAACACAATTTTAAAAAGTTATCCTCTATATGTGTGTTCATTTATTGTCGCGATTGTAAAGACACGCTGTATAATATAGTCTGTTACTTTACTTTTACTTTCAAAGAATGAATGAGTATTAACATTAACATTGCTTTTGCGCCTTGATATTTTATGTTTTTTTTTCGGTGGTAAATAACTAGTAAGTAGTAATAAAGTAAAAGTTCGATCGGTTTCAATTGGATTAATTACTTCTATCGAATGTTTAAATACTTTTTTTTAGTATTCCCCTTCGTAAGTATTGTTCGCTTTGCAAACACTGACTGTGCGAGCACTAACACTATGAATGGCACTTGTTTGGCGCGAAGAGAGTGCAATAACCTAAACGGGACTATCACAGGCGTATGCGCTTCTAGAAGAGGAAGATGCTGTATTGGTAAGCATAAGAGAATTTTTACCACGATATACTTTACTACTTACTTGATTAAGTTAGTTTGAAAAAGGAAATGATAAGATTTGATTCAATATAAGGAATTATTTGTATTAAATAGGAATTAGCAATGCTTAATAATTGAAACGGTGTTATGTAACATCTGACATCGTCTCAGCTCGCCTATTAATCGAGATATGCGATGACCCTGCCCATTACTCTATTTTAGGGGGATTTGGACGACATGAATAGTCTCTCAGTTCCAAGCTGGTCGTACTTTCAAAATAGCCTTTGTTAGTTGTTTTTCTTCTCAGCAAACCTTTGGATGTTTTATTGTAATCTAGTTCATATAAATAGGCTTTTATTAATTGACTATTAGTAAATAAACATAGAACACAGAGAAAATTTAGGGTGGATTATTAATACAATTCAAAGATATTATTATATGGCTTTAGATATTATTATATGGCTTTACTTCACAGCAGCCAGGATTTTTATTCATTTTAGCAGATTCCTGTTAAATACTCTATTATTTTTATTAATGTAAGCCAAGATATTACGGTTTTGGAATATATCGTGATTACATTATCATGCTCCACTAACCTATATATAAGGTTTTAGTTTGATTTTATTATCTTTTAAAGTGAATTAAAAAAAACTAATACAGAGAAAACAACATTGTTTCAGTTTCTAGAACTTGTGGAACCACAACCAATGTCAACAATACATATTTTAATAGCCCTGGGTATCCAGGGGCGTTCTCTGGCGGTCAGACATGTACACTAATTGTTAATCGCTGTAACTCAAATATTTGTCAGGTAATACAATCTTTACGGCTACGGCAACTTTGAATATATACTTCTCATCAGAAAAATCGAAACACTTTTATGGTTTCTGTCCTAATTTAACACAAAAGAGTTTTCATTCCATGAAAAAAATCACAAATGATTGTACAGCTAGCAGTTTGGCCATTACAGTGATTAGCGAAAATTCTAAATTCAAAATTATTAAAGTATTTAATTTGTTTCTCCTATGAAATGAAATAAAATGATTCACTGTTTTGAAACAAATGTGTGTTAAGAGTTGGAGTACACTACTACCCTCCTTGGAAAAATACACCTAACACCCAGATACGACACAATTATCCATGGATCACAAAAATACTTCTACCGTGTTGGATCTTGCCCACCTCGCCGAAGCCAATGTCTTAGCAAATATATCACGGGGTCAACCATAAATAAAAAGATTGACGAGTTATTTCTCTTATTCCAAACAGCTTCGCATAGACTTTTTAGATATGGTGCTCGCCCAACCTGACGGCGATGGAGTGTGTTCCACTGACTCCATCACCATAACCGGAGGAAACACCATAGTGCCTACTATATGCGGCGACAACACAGGTCAAACCATATTCGTGGACTTCAATGGAAACGCCGCAATTACCATTACTGTTACGGCTTCGTTAGCGACAACATTTTCGAGGAGATGGAGCTTAAAGCTTATACAGCTCGGATGTGACTGTCCGGGCATAGGTATTTATGATTTTTTGTGTTGTGTTTTATTGTAATTCATTTAATTCAAATAAGAATCCACTATAGATGTTGAAAATATAGATCCTTGAAGTTGTAGCAGTGATAAAATTAAGTGAAACGGTTCCTATTGCAGCTCCAAATGGTTGCCTGCAGTATTACACTGGAACATCGGGCACAATCAATAGCTTTAACTACGGGTCGACAGCAAACACGGCCCTTAGTTCATCTCTCGTCACTGGCACGCGGCAAATAGTTAACTTGGACTATGGTATATGCATCCGAATGGAGGCAGGATACTGTGGAATACAATATTCTCAGGCGAGTAATTTTGTTTCTTAACTATACATTGTTTTATGGTGAAGTTACTTTTCAAAAATTCATGCAATGGTATCATTAAATGAGTAAATTTTACGCATGACCCATCTTGGTAGTGACTGTTGAACAGTATAATTTTTGCCAAAACTACGATCTTAAATGTAGGTCTTGCAACTCGGCAGAATTAAAATAGTAGGTAGCGACTTCACTGCTATAGGAAAGTCCATGATGAATCGCTAGCTAGCTTGCCAACTTCTCCCATAAAAAATACAGATACCGAAACCTAATCGCATCAGTAACACCAAATCCTCCCCGGGGGCTAATTGCGACCATAAACTATTGATGGCAGAAATGAGCACTGACTGAATCGATGTTGTAGATAAGTGTTGAATTCCGCACTAACATAAGAGACTTCAATGATAACTTAGAGATAAAGACATACGAAGTTACAGCCCCGTATCTTCAATTTTTTTTGGGTGGGGCAAAAACTGGGTGGCCTTTGTGGCTTTTATAAAGAAGCCCAAATTCACACAGGAGGTTTAGACTCGGTAGTATAATCGTTTATTGAAATAAAAACAAACTTTTTTTCTAAAAAATCCCTAAAAAACAAAGCTTGTTGACAATGTGGTAGTCATTCATAAATGCGTCGTATACTTTTGAAACGAACTTGTGTGCGTGTTAGTTATGAATGATCCCGCGTAAATTAAATGAGTTGCCCATAAATCACGCACTTTTTAAGATAAGTTCAAATGAATGTATTTAATTAATTACGAGTGATTTTAAATACATATCATTTTTTATATTACATGAGCCGTGATAGCTCAGTGCCCGGGCGCTCGCCTTTAATTCAATATACTCGAGCAAACTGAGTTCGATCCCCGGTGCCGGCACCAATGAAGTTTTTAACTTTAAGTGCTGATTTATCACGTGTTCCGCGGTGAAGGAAAACATCTTGATGAAACCTGCATATTTTCGAATTAATAACAAAAAAATTTCGAAGATATGTGAAGTCCGCCAATCCGCAGTGGGGCCGCGTAGTGGACTATGCCCTGATACCCTCTGTATAGAGGAGGCCTTTGCCCAGCAGTGGGACATGTATAGGCTGTTACTTTACTTTTATATAACATTATTTATGTCTAGAATTTAATTAAAAAAATGGATACACTTAGAAAAGCCTCCCTCTATAATTAAAGCTATCAGATGTCCACTAATTGATTGACATTTGAAGAAAGCCTACATAAGTCTTCCTTCAGGAACAGGAAATTTGCTGTTTTCTTTGCACGGAAAAAAGAAAACATCAACTTTTATACTTTGAAATAGTAACGTAGCAAAATCGAAAGTGGAAAAATTACAGTTTCAAATATAGTTGACAAATTCTGTAAATCTGACAGTTTAAACTCTAAATCTTACATTTTAAAACTGTTAGTTTTACAGGAATGTTAAATATATTAAGTGACAATGCAATTTTTCCACTTTGGCGTTGGAAGCCCCAGTTAAGTTATTATTTATTTATTTCAAACTAGAAGCGTTTCTGTTTTCTTTTTTCCGTGTGTATTGAGCCAACATATTTACAGATATAAAGACATAAACGTGTAGGATATAATGATATTTTATACACAGCACAGGATAGGATTCAAAATAAAAATATGCATAGTAAAAATGAAAATGAAATATATTATTGCTTTGACATTCCAATTGTAGCTCAGCTAACTTAGTGGTTGTTTGTTATGCAGTCTGTGGTCTTGCGTTGCCGTGAAGCAGCAGTGACCTAGAGCGATTGACCAATCTCGGTTTAGCAGCTATTTCTTCCTTCATGGTTAGCAGTTGCTGACAATAGATATCTGCTGTAATCGTTTGGCCAGATTTTAGAAAGCTGTAGTGAACGACACCGGCGCTAGTCCACCAAACAATCATAAGTAACTTCTTCTGAGTCAATTTTCGTTTAACTGGCTTTCGATTGGGCTCGAACAAGCGCTTCCGATTATCTTACAGCATACACTTTTCATCACAAGTAATGATTCGATTTAAAATCCCTTCATCGTTGTGCAAAGTAACACAGCAATCGACACGTGTTTGCAAGTTCGATTCACTCAATTCATGAGGTACCCATGGTTCAAGTTTTTTTACTTTCCCGATTTGCTTCAAGTGGTGTATTAATCCACACAGTTTTAGCACTTACCCCGAAGCCTGCAGCTATCTCTGAAGTTCTTTGTGATGGATCCGCGTCCACAAAAGCCTTCAATTCTTCATTTTCCACCGGTGGTTTCCGGCCGTCCACGGGGTTGGTGCTGAAGGTCGAAATTTCCAGAACGAAAACGTTGAAACCAAAAACGTACCGTGTAAACGTTTCTTTTGCGACACCAGTGCCGTAAATATCATTAATCCTTCGCGCTGTTTTTGCAGCACTGGTGCTACGGTAGACCTCGTACTCTTAAATATACCGATATTTCATGTTTTCCATTGTGCGGTATGGAATGAATATAAATTTGAATTTGTTACTCTTAACTAAAGAGGACATATTTCAGATCAAAGAGGTCAGTATGAAAAAACACTAATTTCATATGTAAAGACCTAATGTTAGGAAAAGCATCCTGCAAATCATGCGCAAAGATCTGTTGCAAGAGATAGACAGCCCCTCGCGAATAATAATGTTCCTGCAGCACGTCTCACTCTGCGCTTTGGGTTGATCGATCGAGTTGGGAAAAGTTGGGTAAATTATGAGTTGTCCATTCGTCTATGAAATGTGAATTTGCCGCCCTCCGAACTTGCTGCCCGGGGCATGGACCCCGGCTTGCGCCCCTAGATCCGGAAGTTATATTAAGTCTGACTGTTGACCTTTAGTGTAAGTCCAGCTCGGAGAGTGCAAGGGTGGTAGAGAATTAGCCACTCTCCTCCTCTTCTACCTTTAAGTGGATTCGCGGAGAAAGAGTGTCGGTATTGCGTTTGGATGTTCTCTCTCCACGGCCGAAACGTGTTGAGTGGCGGAACTACAGACCAGGTCCGCCGCTGGAGGCTGGGAGAGTTGGTTATTTGTTAGCACTCTTGGCTCCCATGTCCTCTGGTCAGCGAATTCGGAGAACTTGGTCAGGAGTTCGTTGGCCGTGAAAAGGGGCCGAATAGGAAGGTGCGCTGATTGCTCCAGCGTGCGTTACATGGAGGTTTTTCTCGAGGACGGGCTGCTGAGACGGCAAGCGTTAAAACATCGTGGGAAATTTAGTCGGTGCGAGTACGACATAATTCATCCTTGTGCTCGTTAGGGCGGGTATACGTAGCCATTTTCCCCACGATAACAAAACAATAGTTCTGATTGCTGACATACATGCAAACTGGGCAACAATAAGCGGGTTAATTCTTTCATTACGGAATGATACACATGGCAGGGAGACAAACGCCCCTAGAAAGGCATTGATCACAGAGGAGAAATGGAAGAAGATAGAAACGCGTTACTTGGAGTTAGTGCAGACCCTGTCTATATTGAGTAGAAATCTCTTTCTACTCACGTTTGACAAGTGTCACAGAGACTACAACCAACACACAAGGCGGGAACGGAGCTCCTTTCCCTTAACCTAATCTATCCGAGTCGGATTACTCTGTGTCGGTTCTGTGACTTATTAAATTAAAAAAAATCGAACTAACATTATGAGTATGACGTCGCCCGCTTCCTGTATTTATGTTGGCAGGACTGTGTATTGAATTTTTAAGTCAAGTTAATAAAATGGCGGACTTTTTTTTTAAAAACTAAGCGCCCGGAGAATTCTGCTTGAGGATTAATTCATTAGTGATTTTTGCCTATCGTTTAAAATTTATTTTAATTGCAATATGCGCCCATCAACGTCCTTTACATAAACTTTAATTTTTTCGTCTGAAGCCTCAAACATGGCCATTTCTTTTCATGGGTGATTTAACTTTATAGACATCCAACGATGTATATTCGTTCACGGTTTCCGGCGACGTGGAGGGTGCCGACAACACAGTTCTCGGCACGACGGTAGGCGCTGTCAACGGCGCAGCTTGCACCACCGATTTCGTAGTGATCCCCAACCCGACAGTTGTGTCGACCGGTGTGTCCGCCGGCACCGACCGTTTCTGCGGCATCGGATTCGTTCCAGTATCGAGTAAGTACGACACTGACACTCGACATCGTACATCCTACTAATCACCTGAATGGTACATTTTAAAAGGTAACCTTATCTAATAAATTTAAACGAGTAACCCTTTTTAGGTCATATATAAACTTCGTGTATCTCTCGAACGGCTCAATTGATTTAGATTATACTTATTGCTTTATCACGTGCTCAGCTGTTAAGGAAAACATCGTGAGGAAACCTGCATATTTTCGAAATGACGACAAAAAATCTTTTTAAAATAGGTGAATTCCGTCAATCCGCAGTGAGGTTGCCATGATACCCTCTTTACATTTATAGGCTGTTACTTAACTTTAGTTTTTGCTTTACCAGGTTTGATTTTATAATAATAATATAACATCAATAATTATATTATAATTAAAAAGCATATTTTTTATTATGAATTGTAAGCGTTGAAGTTTACTTTTGTACTGTTGTAAGTATAAGTGTCACTATGATGAAAGCTTGAAATTTGTCGGATGGCGCTCTATGAGGTTATTAACATAGGAAAAACTTCAGATGTAATTACCGAAAAAACAGGCTTTCACTGAAAAAATACATCGATAAAAAACTGGCCGCATAGCTACTAGTATAAGACATTTCATTCGTTTTTTTGAAAGATTAAAGTACACAGAGGAAATTTTTATTTGCCTATTACAATTTTAATGTGAATATTATAAAATTGAGAATTTTAAGAACAACTTGACATTGGCGTAATTGTGATAACTCACAAAGCAAGCCATTAATAAAAAGAAGAAGAAGAAGAAAGTACACAGATTTTATGTCAACACTCTTAAAGCTAAATGTTTTTAAGGTTATTGTAAATTACGGTAAAATTGTAGTAGGCTGCGTGTGTGGCAGGGCCACAAATCAACTTCTGCTGTTCGTACCACATACTGGACGAATGGGCAAGCTCTTCCGGGTAGGGATTGCAATCCAGCACTGTTTTCAATCCGCGTTCCAGGGATTTTTGCTGAATTGACTTCATTCCAGCGGGATTCCGCAAAAATTATAGCTTCTATTTGGAATTTAAATAAGTATTATTTGTTATGTATGATCACATATTTATTAAAAAACTAGCGACTCACCCCAGCTTCGCATGGGTGCAATGAATTATAGAGTTAAACCTTCGTCTTGAATCACTTTATTTAGTATAAAAAACCGCATCAAGATAAGTTGCGTAGTTTTAAAGATCTAGCGTACATAGGGACAGACTATGATGGACAGACAGAGATGGTATGGTATTAAAGTTCAAATTGACTTTTAAGTATTATTAAGAATCTTTTGTACGGCAATATAGAAAAGTGTTGGCTTAGAACTTTTCAGGCAATTTTTTAAATTTTTCTCTCCGTAAGAACCATCTTCCTACTTCAAGGAATATTATAAAAAAAGAATTAGCGAAATCGGTCCAGCCGTTCACGCGTGATGGCGTGACCGAGGGAAATTGGGACTCATTTTTATATATATAGATTACATAAGTCAACAATATCTTACTACCTCTAATTGAGTAATTATTTTACTGTTGGACTACTTATTTATTAATAAAAAGTTCAAAACAATTGCAAATATCAATATTTGGTAATTATGTAGTCTTTATACTTTAGTTGCGTAGTAATATTACTTTTAATCTTTACCTGAGGTAATTATAGTCAGTCTTCTTTATTCAGAGATTTATAGTATCATGTGAATTTAAGTTTACTAATTGTCTTAATTTTTCTTACTAAAGTAAAGAATCAATAAAAATATGTAACAAATTTAAAAATATCAAATAATAAGTCACTTCTCTTTTTGGAAATATGATCTTAAAAAACAAATAGCATCAATAATGTTATCACCCAATCGATTTCTTATAGAACTACATAATATGTAGCCTTCTTATAAAAACTGTCATTCAAGGACAAGTTAATAAGCATTATACTTACTCTAGGTTTTTGATTGACTTCAAAATAAAATCAAACGTTTGTTGTTAGGGTAAGTGCCAAACTAGCGAGTCAAATGGGAACTAAACTGTTTAGCGCAACGAGTGGCGTTCAGCATGGAGCGGGTTATGCATATATTAACAGGTCAACTTACGTCACACGAAGCGCTGCGAAGTAAATTCAAGGCGGCAAATTTGAATTAATGTACGCGATTATATGCTCGCATGTCTGCAAGCTGTTGCGGGATCTCGCAGTACCTAAAATTATGATGGATCCCGCTGGATTGGTGGTCCCACTTTACCGGATTGCAATCCCTACGTTCCGGGAAAGTACCGCGGCCTCTTAGAAGATATCGCGATTTGTCTAGTGAAGTATCTGGCTCCCAGTTTAAGTTATCAACGTATCTTAGGGTGTTGTAAATATAAATGGGCAGCGGTAAGAAAGTAAAGAACTCGCAAGTCAACCGCGCCGTCCTACCGCTTGAGAAATTTTCACGAGAATCTGACACAAATAAATATTTTTTTTAAAAACATAAGTAAATCGATTTGAAATGCTTCTAAGTATCTAGTAACTGGATGACCTAGCTTTGCTCGGATTTTTGGTTCTCACAACCTTGGAAAAAGAAAACAATCATCTGGACTCAAAAAAAAAAACTTTCGGGTCTTTAGGTCCTTAGAACCGCCCGAGCTATCGTAATATCGTAGATGGTTGCGAAATTTACCTTTTTATTCGATTGATACTTTTCATTGCTCGAAAACTCGTAACGTTTTCTAAAAAAACCTAATTAGATCGATTTATCGCCCGCAAACCGAACGTCGTTGGAGCCGTTTCCGAGATTCCGATTATATATATATATATAGAGCTTTAAACGAGCAAAAGAAGAGAGATAAAGTTTAAGAAAATATGTAATAAAAAAGTCGTATTCGTAATTTCTGCCGTGAAGACTATGAAATTTAATTAAATTTAAAATGATTAATAGTGAGTTTTTCTAAAATTGTTGATTGCTTTCTCATACTTTATATTTGTTTATTATAATTCCTATAAAAATATAAAAGTAAAGTACAATCATGGTCATCTGGATCATCTGTGTACATTTTCGATAGCCTCCCATGATACTATCGATAATATCCTACGGCCCATCACTTTTAGCGCCTTAAAGGTATTATTAGATGAAATCAGCGTAGGGAATTTCCAAATCACAAGAGGGTTTCTAGTATTTCCCGCGTAGCCTAACATTTCAATAGCATCGACGGCTGCTCCTTTGTGTAATCTTATCCTTGTTTCAAGGCATTCGATTGATCAATGGCCTCTTTACAGCTGGGGCGAAGCCGTTCGTGCTATACGTTGTGACAAACGCCAACGAGGGCGCAACCACCACGACACCGCCGGACGTCGCCAACAGAGGCTTCTCATTAGCATATTCCCAAATTGCCTGTTAACCTCAACGACGTCTGTACACTGCGCGGGAAAAATTAACACGGAAAATTCAACTGAATCGGCCTAAAGGATATACACAAAGAACATACATCAAAATGTGCAATCTTAAATCGTAGCAGTATGTTGCATATATCAAATACTCTTAGTTTCATAGTAAGAGCCACATAATTTGACGAAATCATAATTTTCTTAGTTGTTGAGTTTTTTATATTATCAGTTTTGTAATATTGATATGAAAATAATTTCAATTATCAATATAAATAAGGTAATTTAGAATTTAGCTAGAAAAATATAGACAAGTAACTGATAACATATTGATGTGTCGTAGATTCAATATAGGACAACACGTAATAATATACAGTGATTTTCTACATTGCCTAGTCTCACTTTAGGGACTTACCTAAGTAGGCAATACGGTTATATAGGTATATAACCCTCATTTATAATTAAAGTTCATCCTTCACTCCAAGACAAATCTTTCTAGAAATGTTATTTAGTTAGTCTAACATAAGCAAAGAAGACATTGTCAATAATTTTATTAGTTATTTCTCGTAGTTCTGTTAAGCAATTAAGTGGTTTGTTGGTTTTATTATTTAAGATATAAATTGTAGTGTAATGTAGTTATAAATAATGGTTTTAAGTTTAGGATGAACATTGTAATGGTATACTTTCATTATTTATCCAATATTCATTTTAAATATTTGTCTGATAAACATCTAAATGTGACAAATAAAATTACAATATATGTAACACAGAGTTTTAATTAATACCTTTAAAATCTCAAGATAATTAATACTAAGTTTCCACTAACAACAAACATAATTGAAAAATAATATATGTGTGGAAGTAACATACTAATAAAAATTACAAGCTTATAACATTTGAAATAAATAAACTCGACAATTGCTTACGTATTGCTTATAATGGTTTACTTGATTACTGGACGAAAAACTGACTAATGAAATTTATAACGCACGAGTGTACCCCTTCGTCGTCCAAGCGTACCTTTCACCGCCCAGATTTTATGAGGTTTAAAAAGAACAGCATTATTAGAGGTAAGCAACATTACAACCCAATTCGGTTAACAGCGTGCATGACTAATTTATGGGCAACCCGTGGGGAATACATGGGGGACTGTCCATAATCAGGCGCCAACCGCCAAGACCCTGCCCTTCTTGGACTCCATGCTCCTCCGCATCGCGTCGTACCAATCGCCGATGTCTGTGTTCTCCCTCAGGTCCTGGAAGGCGCGACAGCCCTCGATGCTGCTAAGCACGCCGTAAACCGAAATATCCGCCAGATTCGGCTGCGCCCCGCCCAAGAAGCGGGTGCCTTTCTTTTTCAGGGCACCAGTCCAAGTGGAGGCGGCGTCGTACAGGGCCTGCCTTACGTCACCCGCTATGTTGTGCCTGTCAACAAGATTGCGGGCGGAATGTTATATTACTTTGCGCCTATGATTTCCAACGATACAATGCGATTGTGTGGTATTGTGTTATTAATGAGCAACTATTAATTAGAAAAGGTGTCGTCCATCAATCAGGTGATTTTTAACGTTTTTACCCTCATGGCGAAGATTGATGAGGTTTGAGACCTAACACACTCCCACAGAATATTTTATACGATATTTTATTCGACGCCTTCAGCTCAAAGTCAAAGATCGCGTATCGGAACACCGACATACCACGTGCATACCGCATACCGCCTACTGGCGGTTAGCCCTTAGATGACCCTTAGATGACACACCATAGTTAAACACACGCATGAGCACATGCGCGGCCCTACCCACAGCGGAGAGCCCAAACCCGTAGGTTCTGGCTAGCCCACCGGTTCTGCGTCAGATGAGGCTTTAATAGTCTCGGGACTGAAAAGAAAAACATCAGTTAATACAAGATACAAGACGAACTTGAAAGGCAAAACATTTTATACATACAGAGTAAAGTAAAAGAAATAACCTAGATTTGAGCCTTTTGCTAATAATCCACATAGCAGCGGCGCCACCATAGACCATTAACGCACATTCCCAGCTGGGGAAAGACCTCTTCCAGCCACCCACCTCCTCGAACCATTTAAATGTCTCCAGAGCTTCACCGGGCGTACGATAGACATTGGGCGAGAGGGTGTGTACGAGCACGCGATCCGCCCATTGTCGCCATTCCCGCTCCTCGCTGTAAAAGGACTATTTAATAAAACTACAAACAAAACTAAAATCTACAATTAACCTACAATTGGCGTATAATATTTACATAGTATAAAATAAACTAGCCCGCAACGGATTTTATTGTTGTGTATAGTTCAACAATAGAGTGATTCAAAAGGAAGGTAGGAGGATTGGTAAAGTAATACATCATACAGTAAAGCTGAGATATTTAAAGATTTGTAATGGGATGTAGTAACAAACATTTTTTTTGCGCTTATATTGCAAACACTAGGTAAGCCTTGTGAGATAAATGAAATTAATGTACTACGGAATTCTTATATCTTAAAAAGATCAATAAAAAAGATATTGTTTATCTCATAATGATAACCCACAGTAACTATTTATATAAAAATAATATTATGGGTCATTTAACAAAACTATTTTAAACAATACAATTCCTTATCCAATTAAATACATTACTACGTCTTGCATTCGTGTAAATTAAAATTGCCCTTAACAGCATATCATTATTAATATCTTAGCTTTAAAAAGCGGGGGAAAAGCGACTGGCGGTCCGTACGTGCATCGCCCGCGTAGGTCCGGCCTCGCGCTTTTGAGAGAAGAGTAACTTGATATAATAGATATTACAAAATGTCTGTGTAAAAAAACCGTTTAACCCGACTTTTTTTATGTAAAAAGTTGCCAAGCGAGCAGACGGTTCAACTGATGTTAAGTGAATACCCATGTGCCGCCATGGACATCTGCTACACCCGAGGATTCCAGATGTATTGACCTTTTGAAAATTGCGCTCCGGCCACCTGACTCACCAGACGAAACGCGATAGTATTATATTTCCACTTTACGCCGGTCTTCTGTGAGGTCGTGATACTTACCCGAACGAGCCCGCCCATTCGTGCAACAGCCGAGGCTGCTGCGTGGCCTTACCACCGTTACCAGCGTTATAAGGACCGACTACTTTTCTATTGAAAATAAATGAATTGTGTATAGTTTCGGTTAAAATTCTGTCTAAATTACAAAGAAATTTTGAAAAACCAAAAAGATAATATGAATTTATGTTAAACAGCTTTTGCTTCTTTAACTGTTTCTTTAAACTGCTTTTTTTGCTTCCATGATTGTTAAGCCGAATTATTTCCTGTAACATCAGTGGCTGTACTATAGGAAAGATTTACTCTAAGCTTTATGGTAAGCTTTAGAATAGGGTAACACTTAACTCTTAAGCAGCAGACAGCAATGTATTACACTCTTGGAAAGAGATTTGCTTTTTAAGGGTATCCTATATAACCACTGAACAGCTATTATTAAGCCTAATACGACATCTTTACAATAGAATAATTCTACACCAATACCAGATGATAGCATATTGAACGCTCTTGTAATAAATAAGGCAACACAAAAGAAGAATTCATGAGCAGTATTCAGTCTATATGCTGCTTTAGTCTTTTAAACTAGCTTATAGCGGTTTTTTACACTGCAAGATGTATTTTAGTGTTTTTCAATGTCATTTAAAAGCCAAAAGTATTAGTTTCGAATATATACAGTCATATAACAAACAACATTAACAACATTAACATTAACAACATTAACAGCATTGCTGCATAAAATTATACAATTTATGGTATAGTGAAGCCTTAAATATTTATTTAGCTTTTGTTCATCGTTTATAGAAGTATTTCTAGCTGTTAATATACTGGCCAAAAGATATTTTTTCAGCCTAAATGTTTATTGGGTGACAACTGTCGGTATATAAGTATTAATCGCTTGATGTGAGTTGTAAGAACTGCCCCGGGTGTATTTAGTAAGTCGGTTTCTCAGGTAGGTGAGGTCATTTCAAAACCAAAATAGCCAAATCGGGCCAGCTGTTCTCAAGTTTTAGCGAGACTGACGGACAGCAATTAATTTAATCACAGACAGCAATTAAATTAATTAATTGATATACAGCGTGTTTTATACGTAAGGGTGTTCTAAAATTGTTTGTTTTGGAAACTTTAATAACTCGATAAATATTGATGTTTAAAGAATGTAAATGTCTGATAAAATTTTAAAAAGTTATCCTCTATATGTGTGTTCATTTATTGTCGCGGTGGTAACGACACGCTGTATATATATATATATAATTTTATAACCTACTATTTACGGTTCTCAGAATATATCTATCTTGTTAAAAAATTAAACGAATTCGAATGTTTTTCTCTATGGAAGAAAAAGTACTTACTTTTCAGCCGCCCTTTCATTCTCGTCTATATATATATAGATTAAAGTTGAGATTTCAATGAACAAAAAGCCCGCCAATTTGTTTTTAAAAAGCTGATATTTTGACGCGAGAATTTTCAATTATTTAGGGTGCTTTTTCGATATTTAGTCAAAATAAGGTGAAAAAATAAAAATTTAAATCAAATAAATTACAGTGTATTTGGGAATATACATATAGGACAGTTTTCACCAAATTTCTAGGAAATAAATTAAAACCAAAAAGTTGTTTTTATTTTCACCTTTTACCATTTTTAAAGGCTTCTTCGGATCACACTTTTTTTAGATTAGGGACAATTGAATAGGATATAATAGTAATTAATATATCCAGAACTTTTTGCGTGATGCGCGACTCAAGGCAGTCTCCTATAATTTTATAACCTACTATTTACGGTTCTCAGAATATATCTATCTTGTTAAAAAATTAAACGAATTCGAATGTTTTTCTCTATGGAAGAAAAAGTACTTACTTTTCAGCCGCCCTTTCTTCTCGTCTATATATATATAGATTAAAGTTGAGATTTCAATGAACAAAAAGCCCGCCAATTTGTTTTTAAAAAGCTGATACTTTGACGCGAGAATTTTCAATTATTTAGGGTGCTTTTTCGATATTTAGTCAAAATAAGGTGAAAAAATAAAAATTTAAATCAAATAAATTACAGTGTATTTGGGAATATACATATAGGACAGTTTTCACCAAATTTCTAGGAAATAAATTAAAACCAAAAAGTTGTTTTTATTTTCACCTTTTACCATTTTTAAAGGCTTCTTCGGATCACACTTTTTTTAGATTAGGGACAATTGAATAGGATATAATAGTAATTAATATATCCAGAACTTTTTGCGTGATGCGCGACTCAAGGCAGTCTCCTATAATTTTATAACCTACTATTTACGGTTCTCAGAATATATCTATCTTGTTAAAAAATTAAACGAATTCGAATGTTTTTCTCTATGGAAGAAAAAGTACTTACTTTTCAGCCGCCCTTTCTTCTCGTCTATATATATATATAGATTAAAGTTGAGATTTCAATGAACAAAAAGCCCGCCAATTTGTTTTTAAAAAGCTGATACTTTGACGCGAGAATTTTCAATTATTTAGGGTGCTTTTTCGATATTTAGTCAAAATAAGGTGAAAAAATAAAAATTTAAATCAAATAAATTACAGTGTATTTGGGAATATACATATAGGACAGTTTTCAGCAAATTTCTAGGAAATAAATTAAAACCAAAAAGTTGTTTTTATTTTCACCTTTTACCATTTTTAAAGGCTTCTTCGGATCACACTTTTTTTAGATTAGAGACAATTGAATAGGATATAATAGTAATTAATATATCCAGAACTTTTTGCGTGATGCGCGACTCAAGGCAGTCTCCTATAATTTTATAACCTACTATTTACTGTTCTCAGAATATATCTATCTTGTTAAAAAATTAAACGAATTCGAATGTTTTTCTCTATGGAAGAAAAAAGTACTTACTTTTCAGCCGCCCTTTCATTCTCGTCTGGTACAGAAGAATTATTCATAATAAAGTATTTATTGGTTATGTCAGTAGTAGATTTTCCAGCATCATTAATATATCTTGTGAGAGGGTAAAATTTAACGATGTCGCGGAGCTGTGACGTTTTGTCTCGCAAGAAAGTTTCAAGGATGGATATAATTGCTGTGCTATCCATAAGCGGCTGAAAAATTACACAAAACAGTAAAAATCTCTGCCGCCTTCAAAACTGTACGCTAACTAGCATATGGTCTTAAGCCGCTCTACACAAAATGTTCAAAATGTCTCAAGAGCATACACAAATTAGATAATTTTGCTAAGATTAGCATGTAATAATGCTAAGATTAACATGTAATAATAAACGACACCACATCTTGAAATGTCATTGAGGGTCATATTAGAGAAAATTTGTGACCATACACAAACATTTAAGACATGGATTTCTTTGGAAATTGTGATGGTGGTGATGAGGTTTCACAGTTAATTCCAGAGTGTATTCGGGTTCTTGCCGAGAATTATCTCTGCCTTTATCCTAAGATTACATAAGGAATAGGCTAGACGTATTTGACAAAGAGATGACATGGAATCACTAATACTTGTGCCTACTGACCGCCAAAGACATTAGTAACTATAAAGATTTATAGTCATAACTGTTCAGATAAGAGAATCCAATAACATAACTATATGCTCACTTTTTTTTATGTGAGGAAGTGGCAAACGAACTGGCGGTTCACCTGATGTTATGTGATAACCGCCTGCCCATGGACATTTGCAACACCCGTAGGGTTGCAGATGCGTTGCCACCTCTTTATAATGTGGGCCCCGGCTACCTCACTCACCAGACGAAACGCAGAAGTGCAACACTTCTACTTTACGCCAGTCTCCTGTGAGGTCGTGGTACTAAACTGGATGGACCTGCCCATTCGTGTAACAGCAATCACTGTTGCGGGGCCCTACCACCGCACTAAACTTTTAAATCAATTGTGTTATCTTTTTCATTTGTTTGAAAAATTTGATACTAATATATTCTCAGCTTGTATATTATTTTTTATTGCATAGAAATGACCCCATATCCCTCCTAATATCAAAAAGGACATTTATCATCAATGATGAATTGAAAAATTCTCTTCAATGTAAAAAATACATTACATATATCACTAGATTACTCTCTGTCCCTACATATGCTTAAATCTTTAAAACTACGCAATGGATCTTGATGTGGTTTTTTTTACTAGATAGAGTGAATTAAGAGGAAGGTTTATTTGTATAATACATTGCAATTCAATCATTCGAAAAACATTTCTTCTTACTGTAGGATAACATTATCCTGTGTTGTAAAATATCTTTACACAAAATACAAATACAAGGATGTTTTAGATAACATAAATTTCACATGGACAAACTCCTAAATCCGAAACAATTATCTATGGGTCACAAAAATAAGTCAATCTGATGACCGACAAAGCCTTGGCTACAGTTGTGCCACAGAGTCATCAAATCATATTAGTGATACAACAAATACTACTTTTACATATAAGAAAACTGCATTGAATTATTCAATTAAATCTACACCTTAATATAAGTCAGTTGATAAAAATAACACATTAAGAAATATGTTTATTTTCCAGTTATTTAAGGTTCTAACTCAATTGCAAGATTATTGGCTGCAGAGCATCTCTGTAAAATAGTCATGCAAAAACCTGAATGAATCTGATATGGTAATAAGTTAGTGATTTTTATATATGGTGCAGGACAACCAACACTAGATGGTTGACAAGTGACAACCTGAGCAATTGTACAGGAAGTTGATGCACTCAAGGTGCCTCAGAATTGTGCTTTGTAGCAGTGTCTGGGGGTGGCGTGTTATGCAGTGGACTCTAGACTAAAATGATGAAGATGTGGTAACAAGTATGAAATATGTATCAATGTGAATTGTTAATAGGTTGGAGTGTCATAAAATTTATTAAACTGTACATTAACAAATATGCTTTTAACACAACTCCTTAGTTATTTACTGTAGAATTAATTATGGATCCATTCCCTTTTTACTGCATATAACAAACATTGAATACATTTGCATGTTTAGCAATTTGATGGTATTTATACATTAATGTGTTTATTTGAATTTGTTTGTATCATTGTTTTTTGTATTAATAATGCAGTTATTTATGGTTAACACATGATATCATTCCAATCTAAAGGATCTTTGAACCTGGATTTGATTTAATTTTTTTTTTTTTGTGAAATAAGTAACATAGCATAAATTACATGTACCTGATAACCTCCATCGACTTTTGCCAGCACAATAGGGACTTTTTTGTATTTAGACCATTTTATGGCTTGTCGCAAAACAGCATCTACTTCAACAATTTCATAGCTAATACTCTTGGCATCAAGATAAGCACGGACTTTGCAACAAAATGGACAGGTGCGGTATTGGAAAAGAACTAATTGTAAATTACTTGTATCAGACTCATTAATAACCTGAAAAATTAAAGGACATACTGAATAATTTGCAAATATAAATGATTGGATTGAAACAAAACCTTAAAAATTTTTGACAATATATAGTAACCATAGTTCATTAATGTCAAAACATGAATGTTTTTACAAATAATATCTTAACATAATTTAAAAACAAAAGAACTTATTTATCACAGAAAGAAGTAAAAAATATGCATTTTAACACTTGTTTTACAAAAAATATACAATTATATATAACATAATACAATAGATATTGCAGTGAGCACAGCAATAGCAATACAGTTCAAAAACATAGAAGTTGAAATATTATACATAAGGAATTATTATAAACATTTGTAAAAAAAAGTAAGTTAATGAAATTATACTTTGGTTGAGACACGCAGTAGCTCTTGTTGTTTTTAAAAATAGGTTTTACACCATCTTTTAAAATTAAGCAATACAACCCATAGGTTATAGATGTCCAATAGTCGTGATAATCACATATCAGGTGCCTGCTTGCCCCATCCAACTAGAGTAAAAGACAAATAGAACTGAAGTATCTAAACCTTAAAAGAATCTTGTTATTTTCATAATTGTTTATAAGAAACTTTTCACTTTTCGCTTAGCTGACGCAAAAACACTTTTTCCTTCATATTTACAATTTACTGTATATATAGCATTTTAACAATCAAATTTGTTTGGAGAGAAATAATACAAAATACGTAAAAATCACCATTTTAAATGTAGTAGTGCCATGCAGTAGTCTCTGCTGTTGCACAAACAGGTTGGCTTGTCCAGGGAAGTACCACAACCTCAGAGAAGACCGGCGTGAAGTGGAAGTGTTACAGTTCTGCATTTCATCTGGTTAGTGAGGTAACTGGGGCCCACTTCTTAAAAAGATGGTGGCACAGGGTGGACAATATTAGTGTTGCAGATGTCTATGGGCAACAGTTACCACTTAAAATAAGGTGAATCGCCAGCTACCTTGTCGCATTGTCACAAAAAATTTAATATTTCACATAAAGGAAATAAAAAAAGATATCCTTGGAAAATGAGAGAATGCAGTAATAACTATAAGAAATAATTTTTCTTTTGTACGCATTACCATCATATTATATTATGAATTAGTTTATCTAGTTTGCTTAGCAAGTACATTCACATTTATGTACATTCACATTTCTTAATAGTTAAGTATAGTAAAGTAATAGTTCACATTTTTAATGATTTATTCAAATTTTATAATAGTACATTACCTGTAGAGTTTTTTTTTTAAAACATTGCCCTTACTTTAGGATAATATTATCCTGAGTGTCAAAGTAAGGATGTTTTACAAACACAAATTTCACACGGACAAACACCCAGATCCAAACAGCTATCTCTGGGTCACACAAATAGTTGTCCCGTTTGGGAATCGAACCCACGACTTTTAAGTATGACCCGGAGTCATCGACTTTTAAGTACCTACATTATTGTGTTTAGACTTACAAGTAAGTACAATTACATTTAAATACTAGCTGCTGCCCGCCACTACGTCTGCGTAGTATAGGCTGAAGTTATAACATTCAGACAGAAACACAGATATACATAAAATATGTATATAAATTATAGCCTATGTGTTATTCTGATGTAAAAAAAGTAAAGTATCAGCCTATGCATGTCCTGCTGTTACTTTACTTTACTATGCATGTCCCACTGCTGGGCAAAGGCCTCCTCGGTACAGAGGGTATCAATGCATAGTCCTCCACGTGGCCCCACTGAGGATTGGCGGACTTCACATATCTTCAAAATATTTTTTTTATTATTAATGAAAATAAGCAGGTTTCCTCACTATGTTTTCCTTCACCGCTGAGCATGTGATAATTCAGCACTTTTATTTTAATTAACAATTTCATTGGTGCCGGCACCGGGGTTCCAACTGAGGTTGCTTCAGTATATTGATTTAAAGGGGAGCTACCCAGACACTGAGCTATCACGGCTCTTATGTATAAGCTATATTATTGTAAAGTTTATTCAGTACTATTTACATGAAACAGTAACAAACATCCACCCATACATACAAACTGTCACGTTTTTAATATTAATAAGGATAAAAAGACTACACAAAATTAAAATTTGTTAATACATAATGACAAAGAATATAGTTTTGGCTTTTACAAATTATATTCAAAACTTTTTTCTAAGGAATCAGAAAGCCTTGGATTTCGCACTTACATGGGATTGTGCGATTAAATAAATAGAATCAAAAAATCAACACCTAAAAATTTCAGATATACCACATGATAATTAACACTAACAATTAAGGAAAAATATAAATAAGTAATAATGTTATATTTATGTAACATAAAAATTTTTTAGAAAGTAATTCAAAATATATCAAAGAACCAAACAAAAAATAAATGTGAGACAAAGATACGATTCTCCTCAACAAACACCACAACACACAAGGACACATGCCCAAGCAATGGAACAACATAATATGAATTGATTTCTTCAATAAGATATGATAAATATTCTTTTCAAGTGGAAACTCAACTACCTTGCTTCTTGGCTATGCTGCAGCCCAAAAAATAATTTTGTTGTTTTTTTTTGTGGTAAGCAACGGGAAATTTGTACTGTTTTTACATTCAAAGATATGACATTTACATTAATCTTACTTTATAATGAGCCTGATGCTTTGGTGCTTCTTTTATTAAACCATATTCTTCATTTTCAGTAGGTGTGATAATCTTCTTTGAATTAATTTTATAATGAGAATAACCGCTATAACCTGCTCCAATGAGGACACCTATACTAGCACTAACTAAGGTTAGCTTCGCAGTTGACCTTGGTAACCGGCTCTTAGTGGTGTAATATATTTTGGTAAGATGTATGTTATCTTTTATTGAAGGCAAAACTACTTTCCTTAAAATTGTAAAACTTGGACGCCACATTTTATTTAAAATTACTAACGTAACAAGTTTACATTAGACAGAATTAATAAAAGAATGTTAGCAAATTATCAAATTATCCACAAATCTGGGGGGCGGAATCTCTATCTCTATCCCAGTCCCACTTTGTCCTGTCACAGATTAGTAAATTTTAAGATTAAAAATTATATTTATACAACTAGAAATAACGGATTTGGTCCATTATGCTATCGTTGATCAACGACTGCGAAAGCTGTAATATTAGAACTGAGAGGAAAAAAGTAAAAAAATTAGAGTAATTAACTATAATCTTTTTAATTTAAGGCTCAATTACTTATAAGGTTCATTAAAGTTTCAAATTAACGTGCAAAAAAGACTAAAATTGTGCTAATCGTACCAAAGCAAATTACTAACTAAAGGTAATAGTGATAATGAGTAAACGATATCACCGTAATGTCATGATAGGGTATAAACGATCAATGGGGAATAACTTCACTGGACTGATCGTGATTTCAACAAAATTATATGCCCACGTAGTGATAGCATGTAACACTTTGTAACTTCAAGTTTCGTCGCAATATGCATTGGGAGTGAGTATATCGCCATTTTAAAAAAGTATCGATATATGGTCATTTTCCGCATCATTATGTATACATATTTTTAAACCATTCAAAATACGTAAAATAGAATAGAAGTGAAACAAGTATTTGAAAAGAGGTTTAAAATTTAACGTTGCGCAAGAAGTATGCATAGAATATAACATTAAACACAAAACCAGAGTTGCTTTAAAAAATATATCGAAACACAAATTCGTTAGTCTGAAAAAATATTTATTATCCATATAAAAAAATGTTAAGTTAAGTCTATCCAATTTGTCGAAAAATATACTTGTATTAAATTGACCTAAAAAAAATTACTTCTCTGTAGACATCAATATTCTATAGAACTTAGTTATTATACATATTAGAACAGCTTATGACAACCATATTCATTTGTTATAAATTATATTCAGTCTTGTGAAGTTTGTGATTTTTACTTTATACAGTGAAGTAAATACTAAGTTAAACAATAAAATCCCTCAACTTTATTACACATTATTTTATTTGAACCAAATTGAAAATAACGTTTAACGTTAACTATAAACAGCGACTATGTGAACGGCTCGTTGAAATCGATATTTTATTGAATTAGCAAAGACAAGTAAAAAACGTCACTAAGCTACTTGTCCAAAACCAAATGTCGAATGTCGTTGTCCGTCGCGATGTCTGTGACTGATACATTATATTCTGGGGAAATTGAAAATGTTTTGCAGTAAACTGCGCTCAAACAGTTGGTTGAATATATACTGTGCAATTACTGTTTTTTCTTAAATAATTCAAGTAATTGTTGGCACCATAGGGAAGGTGGGTTCCTTAAAAACTGCGTTTACGTCGCGATCGTTACTATTGGCGCGTTTGTTAGACTAAAGACATTTAACAGTAAAAAAATTATATCATGTGATGTTAAACGCATTTATTTAATGTATAGGCGAGTGGTAATGCGCGAAAAATGCCTTCGACTTCGCGGTCGCGGGGCTCCGGCCGTGGGCCGGATGGAGCGCCACGGCCTCAAGTCATAGCTCCCATGTCGGAGCGGCAGCAGTTGGCTCTTGTGATGCAAATGTCATCAAAAGATGCACCTCCAGGTGAACTGTTGTCCGATGTAATAAATCTATGAATTGAAATAGGTCAAGTATGACTTCCCGCCATTTTCGTATTCAGCCGCTCCGACTCCTGCAGAAGAAAGAAAGCGTACAAGGCAACAGCGTAACGAGCGCGGTGAGACACCATTACATGTCGCTGCCATAAGAGGAGACCATGATCAAGTGAAAAAGCTGTTAAACCAAGGTCAAGATCCTGATGTACCAGATTTTGCTGGTGAGCCGTAATTCGTTGATATATTATCATAAATGTTACACAAAATATACATATTGTTTATAAACAGAACACTAGTTTATAAACATGGTATAGATATTTTATGTTTATTATTTTCATTAATTATAATTTTATTTGAAGCTACATTATTACTTGAGACAAATATTTGGATACTGTAAAAAATCACCATAAATTTTGGCAATTTCATTAAATAATATATGTTAAAAATATCAGTTTCCAGTTTGTCTTGGGAACAATGGTTAGTTTTGACACTTATTAAAAAGGAAATTATCAAAATCTTGTAACATTGTCATTTTAGTATATTATTTTCTGAATAAAAAAATATTTTAAAAGCAGTACAAATTAATGATGGCTAAAATAAAATTTTTATTACATATTAATGCAGTAACAAATAGGTATTTTGGGATCATAACTTGCAATTATAAGATTTTGAACTGATTTACTTTTTTAAAAGTGTTTTAAGGTAAGTCAATATGGTAATTTAGTCTTGTTTTTGGAAAATGGCTATGTGGAATTTTTTAATTAAGTTTCATGTTAGTTTTAATAATTAAATATTTTAAAGACACCACAATACATTAGATATGAAATATGTATTTCTTTTCTTTTATTTAAATTTTCTAATTCTTTGTTTTAAAACTCAATGAATAAAATAAAATTTAATTATTTACAACATGGAATTATTATGTACAAACATTGCAAAACTTTTATATACATGTAGCCAAAAGACTTATTGCAATTTGACATTATAGTTTAAAAATGACATTATGCCACAATTGGATTGGAGATAGTATAGCTATCTAATTGTGCAACATTACTGATATGGCTCATCAAACATCACAGTTCATAGGGTTGCAAGAACATCATATTTACATTGCAAATCATGAACTGAAAACCCTTGTGAAAAAAGAGTGATAAATCTTTTTACAAGGAACAAGCCATAAAAGACAAATTTTAATATATATAAGCCGTAGGGCACAAGTGAGCTGGCTGACTGCAGACTCTGGAGTAAAAGTATTATAATTTCTGTCTGGTAAGTGAGGTAACTGTCTTAAGGGTTAGTTAGACATCCCTATAGGTGTTAAGTTCTTAACATTAAAAAATTTGGACATTTAAGAAAAAGCAGAAGATGAAAAAATTGCAGTTTTTATTTGAAATATAATTAAGAGGATATTTATAAAGGTGCCATCCACATAATTGCTTCATCACTCAAAGAAAAGCAACATCTACATAATGTAAAGCAACCAGTATTAAATGTTTAATTTAAAGGCTGCTAATAAAACTGAGAGTGATTGTGTTTTTTGTCCATAAGTAACACTGTCTTAAATGTCTCTGCCATCTTAAGCATTGTTGAAATTTCCGAGGTAACCACTAAAAAAACATTGACATTTTTATTTTTTATGTGAATAAATTCATTATGTAAAGATATTACAAAAAATATATTAATTTGAGTTGAAATTTAACTTCTGTTGCATCTAAAAACATAATTACCATTAAAAAATGACATTATAAAACTGTCCATTTGTGAATGTTTTTTATTTCATTTACATTTAACTCGAAGAATGGAAAGATCATAGGGCTGGATGGTATACCTGCAGAAGCATAAAAGTGCGTCAAAGTTGATGGATTCAAGTGGCTGACTTTGTTTTCCAATAAATTATTACAGAGTGAGGCGATACCAAACGAATGGTGCAATAGTTGTCTAGTGCCCATTTATAAAAACAAGGGTGATGTACAGGACTGAAATAATTATAGGGGACTAAAGATCATGTCATGTCATAGTATGAAAATTTGGGAGAATGTAATAGAAAGATGTATGTGAGAGGATTGATGACCTATAGCCAGTTCGGGTTAATGCCAGGTTGTGGGACAACAGACTCCATATTTTCACTTCGCAAGCTATGCGAAAAATACAGATGTGTGCTGATAAACTTATATATTGTGGTTGTTGACCTGGAGAACACTTATGACCGGTACCGCAGCAGGCTTCGTGGTAGACTTTGAAAGAGAAAAGAGTGCCTGGAAAGTACCTGCGGATTGTAAGTGCCATGTACAGATGAGGTTGTACACAAGTCCTGTCTGAAGCTGGCATTGCCAACAAGTTCAATGTGGCTGCAGGCTTACATCATGGATCGGCATTAAGCCCCTCTTATGATATCCTGATTATGGATGCACTGACATCAAATGTACGGGAGGAGGCAGGCATCAAAGCAGAACACCTGTTTTGCGATTTCGATGGCACATTCAGTTTCTCACATATATCCTTAAAAGGTGTAAACCTTCCAGCCTGCTCCGATTTTAAGTATCTCGACTCGTTGGTTCAAAACAATGGTGGAATAATATGATGCCACAAATAGGTGGCGACAGGTCTCAGGAGTTACATGTAACCCGCGAATGCCCCTCAAACTCATAGGAAAGATTTACAAGACAGCTGTGAGACCTGTCATGATGTTTGACTGAATGTTGGGCAGCAAAACAGGCAAACGAAAGAATACCAACTATTGACATAAACAAATTAAAAAATACCTTTAGACATTATATTAAAATTACATTTTAATTAAAATTACATTATATTAAATTATTAAAAAATACCTTTGGAACTTTTTGCGAGAAACAGTTACTAAAAAAGTTACTTTTCAATTATGTCAACAATCCTAAAAGAATTAAAAAGTAGTTTAATACATATATTCAAGTAATATTTAATTAAATCTTATGTAAAATATTACATTACTTTAATAATGAAATTTGATGAACTAAAAATTTTATAATATTTTTATTTATTTATTACACATGTTTAAACTTTTTTTGTAAATTTTGACTTATGGCTAACCTCAATTCGAAGTTAGTGGATGATGTCCAACCTACTGAGGGATGCACAAACAGGTATGAGTCTCATAGTATAATATATAATATTTTATTGGAATTATCCTCTTTCTTTTACCTATTTTTACAAATTAGAGTTAAATTAGTTATTATTATTTTTTATGTGCAAACAGGTATAATTGTAATTATGACAGTCCTACATGCCATCGCTTCATTCTTTTTCATTATTCCAGCTTCAAATTATATTTATTTTAGGCATTACAAACATTTATTGCACAATAATGAGATAGTTATATTTTTGATTATAATTTTATTTAAAATAGCATGTCAAGTGTTGTGTTGTGTTTATTATTTCTCATATATGAATTATTATTGTATAAAGTACTGATAAATTTTTAATACAATTTGTAAAATCAAATGTTATCACATAGTTTGAAAGTTACTGCAATAAATTTTTAAAGTGAATTTTAAATTATAGGATGGACCCCTCTTCATGAAGCATGCAGTTATGGTTGGCACCAAGTAGTTGTTGTTCTTGTTGATGGGGGTGCCAATGTGAATGCAAAGGGTTTAGATGATGATACACCCCTACATGATGCTACAACATCTGGCAATCTCAAGATGGTTAAGTTTCTTATAGAACATGGTGCTGATCCATTTGTTAAAAATAGCAAGGGCAAAACTCCATGTGACTATGCAGCTCCTCATATTCTTGAGTATCTGCAATCACTTAAAGGTATGTTGAAAATATCATTATGTCACCCTCAGCACTCATTCAAATACAAATCAAACATATTAATTATTCTCAAGACTAAGTTTTTTAAACATTACACTGTTACTCCTGTCTTACTTGTTATGTGGTGTGAGAATAGAGAAATAATTTAGGAATCATTTTCTTATATGATATGATTGTTGAATAATTAATTCATGATACATAATATATATAATTGCAATTGTCATTACTTAATGTGTAAAATTTATTTTTCTTTTTTCTATTAAAGATCACATTCATGGTCACTTCAAACATTTCAAAGACATAAAACTTCTTGGCACATTTTGATTAGTACAAAATTATTGTCTCTAATCTTCTTCCCTATCATGGTGATTATGGCTAAAACTATATGAATGCATAGTAAACTAATTATATAATGAAAGGTGATGATAGACATGTTTTAAACATTATTTTAAAATACATTGCTTGCTTATTAGTGCAACTAGAAATAAAAACAGGTGTATTGTTTAATTAAGAAACAAAATAATGTTACGCAATATACAGTGTTACAAAGTTTAATGCTATAATGAAATATGATGGGGTTCGACTTTTGAATCAAATTTTTTTAAAAAATCTATGACAACTTCAATTACATTTATCTTCTATGCTATGTAATAATCTATAGAATAAATATAAAATGAATACACAAACATTTTACAATTGCTAATATGTTCTTTAAAATAATTTATAATCATGTTCTTCTTAAAGGTTAACTCCTTTTTACTAGAGATCCTTAATGCAGGTCCCGATCGCGACATATTTTAAATAAAAAATTGATAGTCTAGTAGTTAAAAAATATACAGATATACATAAATGTTATTCTTTGTTTAAATGTTGATAAATTTACAATTACAACAAAAAAGTATGTTTTTAAACTATAGTTTAACGAAAAACGACAGGAGAATAAAGTATGTTTGCCGATTTATGTTCAAAAGTTTTATCGTTCTTTAATCTTGATGCGACCGATAAATAAACAGCAAGCGAAGTAGCTATCATGGAAAATAATAGTTACTTAGTATGGAAAATATTTATTATGCACTATTTTTTCAATTAAGTGTTTTCAAAGAATACGCAAATGAGCACTTTTCCTTCTCACAGTAGTGACTGTGAAATATTGAAGAATTTGTCTAATGATTATGAATATGTTCTACATTCATTGTAGATGAAAAATAAATCAAAAGTAGAAAAATAATGTTTTGTGTTATTTTGCAAGGGTATAAAAATAATAATATAAATATGTGACATTTATAACATGATATTTTTAAAATATTTACAATCCTTCTTCGTGAATTCGTGATATAGTCTCAACTGCGCAAGTCTGAAAACCGTCCCCTGACTATTGATCTATCGTTGCAGCAACCGATGCAATGTAGACCTTACTGAAATGCAACAAGTATAAATATTTAAAAACTGATCTCTATCTATCTCGCTCTGCAAAAAGTATTGATTTGTGGCTATTTCTAGACATCCCAGGTAGCTGGAATGGAACTCGATGCGCAGTATTATTGAATTTATAAACCGTTCAGGTTAAACTCGCACATAGTGTGCGCAATTACAAAGCATGAGTCTGCAACATTACTGCTGAGTCAACAATAAATATTGCATAATATATAATCTTGAATTATTACGCCTTGACGAAAATAAGAATAGTGTTATTTATTTTGTAAACATTTGCATTTAGATAAGATTGTTGTAGAGGGGGAATTGTTTCTGTAAGTATTTTATGACAAAAAATTGTGATTATTTTGTGGACTAGGTGACCATCAATCATGTTAATATTTAGTGATTTTTTGTTAAGCTGTTTCTTAGATGACCTCTTAAAAAGGTGTAATAGCGTTGATTGTGTTGACGGGAAAATTCCCGTCAATTTAGAATTTATTTATTTATTTTCTATTTAAAAAAGTGTTGTTTTATAGACTGGACTGAACATTCATCCATTTAAACTAACTTTAAAATTTATCTAGTTCACAATTTTAGTACTTATAATTGTTATTGTGTAAAAAAACTATCTTAGATAAGCTAGTGTATTCATTTGTAATATCATAGTTTTACCTAGTAACACCCTCATACTTTGCTAATAATTTATATTGGTAATATACGCGACGAGTTGGTTACTAAAGGAACTAACCTAAAATTCGATACAAAAACAAACCAGATTCAAAGTAGCAGTTGACCATTTTGGGATATTTAAATAAATTAATTTTTTTTTAATAAATTTAGAACAAACAAATCCTATCAAAGATAAAATATCGCGCAAATTCTATAATTAAATAGGCATGGAATAACAACCTTTTTTTTAAAATATTGTACTAAAATTAAGATTTAATTAAATTTTAATATAATTGGACACGACCAATCTGAAAGTTTCGTAATTTTGTGAGCAAAATTAACAACTTCTTGATTCGATATAAAGTACAGAGACGTATCCATTTTGTAAAACGGAACGCATGCGCTTTACTACGCATCACATCGCAACGTAGTGAACATTGTGCGAATCCATAGTCGCGTCGCGTTTTTCATTTGTGACTGCCTTATCTAAATTATAACCTGTACCTATTAAATCTGCTTTCAAATCCATATTTTTAATGGTCAGTTAAATTAATCTTTTTTTTTTTATTAATTTATTACGGTGTTTCGGTGAAACCATTTATGTAATCGTTATTGCAATTTCGGTAATGATCCGCGCTTGTTCTTGAAAAGAAACGCTTTGGGGCGTGTTGCTAAAACTGTCGTTATGGCCGCTTAGTAACGTCAATTTGTGGTGGTGGATTACGATTTTAAATAGTAGATTGGGTGCATAATTATAGGTTAAAATAATTGATAAATTATTTAGTATCGGCCGACGTGAAATGCAAAGGAGGGCGCTTTCGCGCAATAAAGGGGAGTCCATTATTACCTATTTTTTGTTACAAGTTGGCTTTAATCGTACAAAGCACGCCGATCACTATCATGCAAGGATTCCTGTTTATAAAATTAATAGTAATTACCTAACTGACTTGACAGCGTACTTATTCTTTTACTGATTTAGTCCAAAGTACTCGATCCTGCATAAGTGCGTTCCGCTATAGCAGCGTTAAATTAGTCTCCAATAACTGAAATTAATAACATAGTATTATCGATCCGCGTTTCATTAAATACTACTTAAGATAATCGCGTTGTTTTTAAAACAGTTTAATTTGGTCTATATTTTCTAATTCGCCAATATTGGTTTTAGGAAACATGTCTCAACTTCTATTTGTAGAGCAATTTTATTGATAAAATTGATTGTTTTTACTTAACCTATTCCTCCTTCCAAACATTATCTATTTTAAGCATGTGGTGAAATAGTGGTTAATACTGATATACTACAATTGTTTATTGTGCACTTTTAAAGTTTGACTAGGTAAGTAGGTATTTCAGCTATCATAATGTGTGGTAATAAATATGTATATTTCTTAATTGCTACCATTAAATATCATAATTCAGCAAAAGATTTTTATTTGGTTTGAAACAGCCAACATTTATTTTTTCATTGATTTAATAAAATAAAAAAAAATTAAGCAATTAAGAAGTCCTATTCATAATTGATCAAATATTTCATGTTTTATAAGTTGCACTTACGTTTGATTGTCAATGTTTTCTTTGATCAAATTTTTAAGATGAATGCATGAGGTATCATAGCTTTAAATACCGATTTAAAAGTAGAATTTTGGGTATGGGCATATCTCTTCCATTTTTCGATTGCATGTTTGGTATATGGTTTGCTGTAATGCTTACAACATTGTTCACATAAATTGATGCTGTTGATTTGGCAACTTGGACTAGATGTCAGAAATAGAATATAAAGGCTAACAATTAAAATAAAAAATATTTTATGCTTCATATTTTAGTTCGTTTAATTTGTATTTAATGATTATTAAGCGGCACTAGTAAGTTCTAATGTATGAATGCTTATTGATATGTTCTATGTAATTTTTTGATAACTAAGAATAGGCAACATCAATTGTTTATAGGGATAGTATACAATTGCAAGAACAAGTATAATTATTACAGATAACGCGAGAGCTGCCTACGCCGGAAGAACAAGGGATGACAGCGTCAAGAAGGGTGGCAATGCAAATAGCAATAGCGATAGCAATAAGCGAAGTAGCATGGAGGGGCTAGCGCCGGGCGACCCCTTTGATAATAAAGAGGCCGCCTCCCAGGAAAAAAACTGCAATGTGATAGGAAGGGATGGTATGCAACTTTATTTTAAAAACCTCTTTCGTCTGCCTGTTGTGAACGAAAGTAAAAATGTCAATAATTTTCATACTGCAATAAACCCTAATAATCATTATGTAAGATTTTTGCTCTTTTTATTGTCATTAAGTGTATTCTAAAACTTGTAAAATATATTAAATAAGACAAATATCCACTATTATGTCAAAACTTCTCATTTAATATTCACCAAATTCAATGAAATAACTTCTGATTAGACATTGTATAGTAATTCAATAATACCACATTATGATTGTTAATGTTTGATAAGAAACATAGTAAACTGTATAAAGCATATTAACTATTACAAAATAATTTTGTTATTAGCAAATATGTAGCTTAGAATTCAAAATATCATAAAATACAGAGTTCAGATGAATTTTTTATAAAAGTTATTATCAATATTTTATTATTAATTTTAAAAAGTATTGCCCAGATATGTTTTTCATGTTATGTGTATAACTTATTTTAATATATAAAAAAAAAAAATTAAACATTTTTATACCTAATCATTGAAATGCAAAGCTTACCCACATGGGAGCTCTACTGAAAGCAAGTAAAAATGAAGGCAATTTCTTTATAAACTATATGTGACAATTGAGATTAAAAATTAACATTAATATTGAGATGTAATCATCTACACAGGTGCAGAATCAATGGCTAAGGATTTTCATCAAATAGATTATTAACATTTTTGTAAGTCATTTTGTCACAACTTTGTCAACAGATGCATAGTTAAAATTGAAGAAGGTCAAAATGGTAAGAATTATAATATAGTCTATTTATTCAAAAGGACAGGACTACTGACATGTGTAAATCAAATGTTTTAAAGATATTGCTTTATAGGTCTGAATACTGCAGGATTACTACAGTAAAGGAGAATTTAAAGTAGTATTGCTGCTTAGCATTTCTCCTTATTTTCATAATTTAATTATTAGAACTCTAGCAGAAAACATCTCAATTTACAATTGTTGATTGAAAAATGTTAATAATTCTAATAGAGAGCCCAAAATTAATTGGGTGTTCTTGTCCTGCATAAAAAATATTTACATTGAAATAAATCTTTATTTAGGAATTATATACATTGAAATTAAACACATACAAGATTATTATATTTTCATTGATTTATCAATGGTACAAATATTGACTAGGATATTGTTATATTTAAAAAAAATCTCTTTTAGTGATGGATTCTGAAGTATATTTTGATAATGAAAGAACTGCAAGAAAATAATTGTCTTTCTAGCCATTTAATCAGTGAAATCAATAGCCCTTAATAAAGGACTTTTAGTATAATTGTTTGAAGCAGTGACCACTTACAAAGGTGTTTAACAGTCTTATTATCCTGCACAGATTTACACACCAGAAGGCTACTAGGAAATGGCGCAAATACTGCAACGTTTTTCAATAACTTGGGGACACCGTCAACTCTGTTTAAAGGTTTATTCCAGAAATGCCCATCAAGGTATTCGATTAACTTACTTACATGTGCCAAACACGCTGTATCTATGTTCAGTTAAGTTTACTTCTTTATTGTTTTACTTGTTTTCGTTTTATTTTATTTACTGAAATCTACATAGCCATTTTCCATGTTCACTTTGCAATAAATGTTGTTGTTGTTTTTTTTTTTAATGTATTTGATGTTGTAGTTTTTGCTGTTATTATTAAGGATAAACTAATATAAGGTTACAAATTAAGTAAAACTAGTCAACTTACAAATTAAGTAAAACAATGATGATAGTATATATGGATAAATTTAAGCAATAAATTTTTTCATACTTAATTTTCTACAAATCTATACTTGTTTTAAAAGTTACTCTGTAAAACATAAATAAATAGATTTTTCTGATAGGAAATTTGGAATATATTTGCGAATCACCACCAGTGGTAAAACCTTGGTGGAAATTCCTGGAATAAACCAAAATTTATCAGATGGTGAAGTCTTATTGAGCAAAATTAAAAAATTGTTGTAATTGTTAAACCTAAAATTTATTTGCTAATAATTACAGAGGGAGTGCAGCTGAGTAGTGGTGTGGTATCCTCTACTCAAGACGAAACGACTTCTGGCGCAAAACGGACTTATGCTGATGAAGGTCAGGAGGCTGAAGTTAACGAGGATGAAGTCACCAAACGCAAGAAAAGGAAGGATAATAATGAAGACAAGGAACCGATGGCGAAGCCTGCTCCTGTAGGCCGTGGTGGACCTGGCCGGTATTTTACAAATTAAAACCTAAAAATTTTAGGTTCCCCCTATCATTTCATAAGTTCATATAAGCCGTGATAGCTCAGCGTCCGGGCGCACGTTTTTAATTCAATATACTCGAGCAACCTGAGTTCGATCCCCGGTGCCGGCACCAATGAAGTTTTTAACTTTAAGTGCTGATTTATCACGTGTTCCGCGGTGAAGGAAAACATCTTGATGAAACCTGCATATTTTCGAATTAATTAAATAAATCGTGGTGGCCTATGCCCTGATACCCGCTGTATATATGTATAGGCCTTTGCCCAGCAGTGGGACATGTGTAGGCTGTTTCCTTTGTCATGAAAGTGATAAGTTCTCGTTATGCATAAGTTTTCAACTTCTGACATTTTTTTTTTTTTATTTTTTTTTTTTAACATTGCACTTACTTTAGGATAACATTATCCTGTGTTGTAAGGACGTTTTACAAACATATATTTCACGCGGACAAACACCCAGATGCAAAACAACTATCTGTGCTTCACAAAAATAGTTGTCCCGTGTGGGAATCGAACCCACGACCCCCGACGCTGAAGCCAATACCTTGGCAAATGCGCCACGGAGTCATCAATTGAGTAGTAATTTTAATTTAGTTTCATTTTTTATTTGTACCTTTATGCCTAACCTACATATACCTTATCTAATAAAAAAATAATCAATAGTTTCCAGACCTACGATTTTTATACTTACCAGAGCACTGACTGGGGGTAAGCCGCCGGGACCAGCTAGCAAAACAGGCGCGTCACCGATAGGCAAAGGAGGCGGCCAAGGTGGCAAGGGTTCCGGAGGTTCGGGAAAGGGAAACTCGCAGTCGGGGAAAGGCGGAACTGGAGGAAAAGTAAACAGTCAAGGGCATCAAGTAAAATACAAATAGAATTTTTGTTTGCTTTCAATCAAAGCCTTCTTTTATTTTTCCTTTTTTTATGTCATATCTTTATTTGCTGGAAGAAATGTTAATAGTAAAAATTATTTATATAGGGCAAATCTGGCGGCGCGAAATCTCAATCTCAAGGTAAGCAAGATAGGAAGAGTCCAGTTGCCAGTCCGAAAGCAAATCAAGCTAAGGATAATGCAGATGCAGATTCTGAAGATCAAAAGAACACCGAGTCCGCGCCTAAAGTTCCACCTTTGAAGATTGTTATCCCTGGAGGTGCTGGTGGTTCAGGCAGTAGAAATGAACAAGAAGAAGGTTTGAATATTTTTAAGCAAAAATAATTATGTGGCCAACAACACTCGTATATTATAATAAAAAATTAATTATTTGTCGATATCTACATACAGGAGTATTCTTGTCTATATTTTTTATATATATATATATATATATATATAATTTTTTATATATATAATAATAAAAAATTAATTATTTGTCGATATCTACATACAGGAGTATTCCTGTCTATATTTTTTATATATATACAATCTAGACGAAATGGTCTTGGACCCAAAGTTGTAACACCAAAAGTACACCAACTCCATGTACTAGTCAGCATTTGCATGGAGAACACGCTTAACATGTTATGCAAAATGTTAGATTTACAAATATTTAAAACACTTGGTACTCAAGCCAGTGATTGCTGCATTATTAGCTGCATTTTTTTATCATGATATATGTTTTATATAACATAGGTGGCACTGGACAAAGAGGTAGTGGAAAAGGAAGAGGGAGTGGTACATTGCCATATGTAATACCTTGCACCAGCAATGATACAGGTCAAACATCCGATAGCTCTGATGGCAACTGTGAGGACAAAAGGCTCAGTGAATGTGGCAAGGTATGTTAATGTAACAATATTAAAATTCTTTTAAGAAGTGGTAGTTCATGTTTTGATATTCATATATTGTTTTTCGTTTTCATTAGGCGGGCCAAAGAGTGCTGCGCTCACATAGGACAAATGATAATGATAAGGATAAAGAAAGAACATCACCACAAACTGGTTCCGACACTCGTTCTGGAAGCCAGAATCAAGCTTTAAATGCAAACAAAAGTCCCCCAGTCTCAGGATCTGTAAGTGAATTAAGTCTATTTTGCCTTATTTCGTAGGTCCAACTTATATCATATTTTTGTAGGACTGTTGTGTAAAATTATGATGGTATTTACTTTTTTTGTTTCAATTATAGTTTATATTGCTTTCAGGGTCAAGATCACCATGACCATCACCATGCATCTGGTAGAGGTGAAACATCGGGTATGCAAAATTGGCAAATTATTTTATTTATTATTTTTATTTTTTTGTGGCTTCTTTTTATTTTTAAATAGCCATATAGTTTATTTCCGTATTCTATGTTAGTGTTTCATACCATATAGCAGCTCCTGGTCCTTCTGTAGAGTTACATCCGAGGAAGCGTAAGATCAAGACACCAAAGGATAGCCACTCGAGAGACACATCAAAGAACGAGGCGTCGCAGGAGAACAGCCTGGCGCATACCATTTCCCATTCCAATCCATATCAGATGTACATTCACATCCGCAAGCAGGTATTGTAACAGTAAATGAAGAAGCTGTATATTAAAATTCAACTATAATTAAATATAGTTTAGTTATACAAATTAACAATTTGTTTACGATGATTGTATTTGTTCTTTTCGCCAAATATACTATCTGTTGCAAGTTTAGTATTCATGCATACTTACAATATTATTGATAACCTAACTGTAATAACTAACATGTTAATTTAGCGCTTTACGGCCGTCGCTTACCGGATCAGAGAGGTAAATTTTCAAATTTTGCGACGTGCCCACGTATCTACGCCAATCCCGAAACATATTTCCCTATCTCGTATCCTACCCAGGCTCCTTACCAGGTACTGAGAATTATCATCCACATTTAATAATAAGTACACCTTAAAACAAATAAAAACCTTCGTGCTCAAATGTTTCAAAAAGCCTGGTAGGACTACACTCACACACATAATTTGTTAATAAAGATTAATGAAAATGTAGACTTAAATGTTTACATCATGTTAAATCCACAATCTAAAAATTTTAAAGTATTAATTTTTGGGCTCTTATGTAGTTTTCTAAGATTTAGTTCAAGGATGGCTCAATTAAATTTTTAATAATTAAAAAGTATTAGACCTTTTATATCCAGTGTTATTAAAATGTACTTGCTTATTATTTAGATTGACCGTCGACAAAAGAGCCTGTTCCCAGTAAAGCCAAAACCACCAAAAGATTTTAACAAGTATTTAATGAACCGTTGCACCTACACTCTTCAAAGCAATGTGAACCCCGAGCCGCCAGTTGAGGTGCCTGTTAATATGCCATCACAGATGGTGAACGAATTTCTTACTCAGGAGAAGGAAAGGTAAAATACTATTGCTGAAAATTGTAGATTTGAAGATACTATATTCTAGTGTCCGACCGAATGTTCGGTCTCGGTCGAGTTTCGACAAAAAAACTAGTTTCGGTTTAGGCGCCAAACCTGCCGAAACTACGATCGAAATCGCAACTGCATTCGAGAGTTCTTGCGTTATGATCCGTTATGATCAGCGCGTTAAATTCCATCCATGCAAGCAAGCGACGAAGACGACGGATTTTACTGCGATATTCAACGAGTCTAAATCGTCTGACAGCTGACTAATTGATAAAAACACTTTATACACTTACAAATTAATAAATTTACAAAAAACATCTTAAGCATCAAGTAAAATTCTAATAACATTTATGATAAGCCGCAAAATAATCTCTGACCTTACGTGCAAAACTGTTCACAAATTGTCACACGAAAATTTAAGGAAGCGATTTATTGTCGGCTTTCACATTTTTGTTTACTAAAAGTCATAGAAAATGACTAATATAATAATGTTTAGAATAAGTTAATTTGTTCTTAAGATAAAAATGATTTATTTTGTTTTATTTATTACTTAAATGTTTAGTCTGTTCCTATTGTGATATTAGGTAACAACTTAAATAGGTTATTTTATGATTAATATTCTAAATAACCACCATGAATAATATTCAAAAAAATAATCTAACTACTCAAATAAACCTATTTTAAGTCTTTTAAAGGTGCAAATAATATTTATTCTTAAATGGGGTTGTTAAGTTGTTTATCATACAAATAAGTGAAAATGTCGAAGACTGCATAACTATATGATATAAATTTTAAATTTTTCTCTCAAAACATGATCCTTTTATAGAAGTTTCGGTTTCGGTCGTAAGAACCAGTTTCGGTCGGACACTACTGTATTCTAAACACAATTTCATTTTACGTATAAAGGACAACAAGATTAGGCTAATTACAGAAATTACTAATTTTTTCTTTGACAGAACTCGCTTGCGTATTCAACATCTGGTAGAGAAGGAGAAATTGGTGCTGGCTGTGGAACAAGAGATTTTAAGAGTGCACGGGAGAGCCGAACGCGCTGTGGCTAATCAAGTAAGAACTCATTTAATATTTTTATTCTCATTCAACCAATTTTTTTTTATAATCAGTCCAAATTTAATATTGCCTCAAAATCGTTCTAGTTGCTAACATGTTGAAAATTAATTATGTTTGATTTGACCTCAGGCACTTCCGTTCTCGGTGTGTACGATCTTGCGCGACAAAGAAGTGTACAACGTGCTAGCACCGGAGCAGGAGGAGAAACGCAACGCGCAGCGCTCCCGCTGCAACGGCAGACAGATCAACTCGTGGCTTCAAGAGGTCGACGATAAGTGGGAGAAGATCAAGGTCACCTTGCAACTGATGATAATGACTTATTTTTTTTATATTATAAACACTGCATCTTTACCAACATTGCTGCAAAATGAAAACGCAACAAAATGTGATAACTTTTTTATGATGGCCAGTCCTCAACCATAAAACATTGGCTTGATAAAATGTTTCATATTTTTTATTTTTTAAAAGTTGATTTATATAAACATGTTTGTATTCTTTAACAGGAAGGTATGCTTCGACGGCAGCACACGGAAGCGGAGACGTTGCACGCCGTGCAGATAATGGGCTGGGAGTGGAAATTGAAGGAGTTGGGCATGTGTGACTATAAGACCACACCCAAAATAGATCCCACTCATGTGCCGCAGATACACGTTTCGAATTTTGACTTGCCCGCTTGAATTTTCAGTTCTATTGCCTATGTTTACTTAACGTCGACGCTTCGGCGTCGGCATAATGCTACGGTACATAATATTATTTTGTTGTTATGATCTAACACTTTCTATGGGTTGTGACGGAATTTTTCAAGTAATTTCTTCACAACCCTCATTTATAACATCAATTGGTAATATGACTCAAGCGGAGCTACAAAATTGGATTTTAATATCTCTTAAACTTCGACTGTCGTCGAACCTTTCTGGGCGCCCTCCCGCGCTGCATATTCCGGTAACTGGCAATCTGTCACAGCAACTTAACATTTTACAACCTTTAAACAAAAAAGTGATTGTCTGTTCTCGAAATATGTTTTTTTTAACTGGTCCTTGTCAGTAAATATACTCCAGCCTTATAGACCTACTTTGAACATGTAGGTGTATAAAAAATGTTAATGTCAACAAGGAAACAGCAACTGATCCGATTACATGGTGTGTTGTTTTCTTTCGAATTAGGCTAGAACTCCATTAGAATTCCACTGTCTGTGACTCGCCACTTCGAGCGCAGTATTTTATTTTGCAAACCAACCGACCTGCCGTTAAATTGAAACCATTTCATAAAACAATGTAAAATTGTCAAATCTATTTATCCTAAGTTCATTACTTTTGTTTGTGAAGCTTCCCATAATCTAGTTTTTAAAAAATTAGGACATGGTAAGAAATAAAACATCACTTTAATTTAGTTTGGTTGACCTTTAATAAATAAAGCTTAACCATAATTAATTTTTATACTATTTACGGATCCGCGGCTGTGGTCTTGCGCATTTCTGTATTCTTAAGTACTTTTCTTGGATCATTTGATAACAGATTTCAGATCTCTCATTAATAAATTTAAATTACTGGAGCAAAATTGTCCTGTCAAATAATTGTTTTCTCTTGTATTTAAAGAAAGTTTACAACATTCAAAACACTAATAATGCTTTTCATTACAAATACATAAAAGATGTATTTGTAATGAAACAATCCTGTTATGCAAACATTGAAGGCAATCCAATGGAAGTAATAGAATTCATATTAGAACACTGCAATTTGATGTGGGCCTTCTGATTGGAACTACTCAGATTAGTGCAATGTTACTGTTATATATTGACACTATACTTGTAGGTGGACATAACAGCCACTAATTTTGTCCTTTGAGTTATTTATGAAAAAAAGACCTAACAAAAATCACGAAATCTGAAGGAATGATCCAAGCTCGGGTTGCCTATCCTCTATGAACTTATTTCCCATTGTCAAAAGATAGATATGTCAGGTGTATCCTGAGATTTTGTTACATTTAATTGTGTAATCTCTATATTAAAGAAAACAAATTTATAAATGGATACATATAACTTCAAAAAATATTTTGCAATTCCATTAAGAGTACATTTCCTGAGACAGATTAGCCTATAAAACTTGATGAGTAATATGAATGGGGTTAATGATACATTTTTCCATAAAATATAGGCTACTCAGGGTACATGTACACTATTAAATAATCTTAAATTATGCAAATAAGTTTCTTCAGTGGTAGGCGACCCTTCATAAAATATAAATGGTTTAGATGTTTCTGTGTATTGAGAGACCTTTTACAATTTATTCATGAACTTCCTTTTTATTAGATTCTAACTACTTGGAATTTAATATGATCTTAAGGCCTTAAATGTCATGTATTTTTTAATGTTAAATATTTTTCACTTATTAACATAACCTTCGAGATGGAACTTTGATGAATAGTACTTTGTTGAAGCTAGTCTGGTGTTGATCAAAATTAAACACCACCGAGGACTTAGTGTTGCTATGTATTAGTGATTAATTATGATCAACAAAAATATCTAGATAAGGGATGAGCAGTGGTGGGTGCTGTAAGCTATTTAATTTTTCTTTCACTTTATTATTGTATTTTTAGTATCTTTAAGATGTTACAGAAAAATATTGTCGCAAAATGAATTGTGAAAGGCCTTTATTTGTAAGACTTAGTGACTTAATATATGTTGTGCCCAACTATTGTAGTAATTGTCTTCTGTGTACCAACTAATTTAATATGTTATTGTGTATTTAAGTTAATACATCTACAAGTTACTAAAGTAAATTTATGTTAAATATAATTTTATATTTAACAGACAGATTATAGATCTCAAGAAAATAGTTTTTAATGTTATTTTTTCTACATAAAATCAACTTCAATATTTTATTTCATTCTATCAGTGTATCATTGGTGTCTATAATAAAATAATTGTGTAATTTATTTTTGTTATTTAATGCCTAATCTTCACTCAATCGTATGTTCACTTCTACCTACATTCTTGTTCATCTATATATCTCCAGATATAGCTTAGAGATTAATAGAAAATCGAAAATGCTTAATAGTTTCCCCGCATACTGAAATGCTACTGAAATCAGATACTTAACGGTTGCGTAAGGCAGGTTCCAATACATGACTTAAGTTAGGATAAAAGTTCAGCGTTTATAGATCAAAAATGTCTCAAACTGTTCATTACTCGCTCTTAAGCAACTATATATTAAGAATGATAATCGGAGAAAATAAAGATATTATATTTTGAGGTTATACTACGCGGCGTTTAAAAATTGTTCGGTTGACGCCTCAGTTTCGTTGTGCTAGTGGACATGTATAAAAGCTAGTTTCAGATATATAAAATAAAAGTACTCTTTGTTTAAGAGATCTCGCAACCACCATCAGATCTAAGGGCTATTAAAATTGTTTTGGCTGTTGATTTCACAGCTAAATAATATTAAGTGGTGATTTAGTATACGAATTTTCACTGAACAGCGTTCAGGTACTACTTAAGAGACAACACATTAAATTTAACATAAAGCTTAAATTTGATATATGAGAACAAATTTAGTGTTTAAGAGCTACTCAAAGACTAAAGCTGTTAAATATGTATGTAATGTGTCAGTAATTGGCCTTATAGCTAGTAAAACAAACCGATAGAACAAAATCTTTAATTGTGTCTTATACATACTACATTTAACTTTAAATAAAGGCAAAAAAAAACTATAGTCACTTGATGAAAAAAATGCTTAAAATATCTACTTTGTTTTATACCTATTTAAATTGTTATAAAAGAGGCAACTTCCTAATAAAATATCTATGCCACATGACAGCAGTGAATGCTGATAAAGAAAACCAAGTAACAAGGTATGAGAAATGTTCATTTCTCAAAACTACCCTGGTTTGATTAGGAATTGGCCATCCATCAGGAGGATCAGGAATTCCACGTGCGTCCAGCCAGACTGGAGCGCATCCTAAGTGGGAGCTCATTTGATATAAATCCCTGCAACAGATGTGATATATTGCATACAAATATTCTAAAACATTAAAAAAATTAAAATATTGGTAAATTATAATTACCGATAAAACCATGACCCCTTTTCAGGATGATTTTTGGGCATAAAAGGGCTACGATTTTCTGTTAATCTCACTACACCTGTTAATTCTATTTCACCATTAACCATTGATTGTTGTCGTTTATCCTTTGAACGTAGTGTCTGGGGAATCCAACCCCTATTTACTAAAATAATATCCCTGTAAAGATATATATTGATATATTTTGTAGAAAATGCTTATTGCCCATAAAATGTTGTGGAAAAAATTAAAACATTACCCTGTTTCTGCCAATTTAAAAGGAGTTATCACAAGCCATCCCTGATTTTTTTTTGGGTCTGACATTAGGGAGCCACTTCTTGGTAGTGTGACATAAGGTTCTATTAGGGCCCGAGGGCCAATTAAGATTTCCTTATCGTGCAGAAACTCTCCATGTACTTTAACTGGCATATACTCCATTTTGTTAAGTAGTTCAAAACTAAAAGGGTAGAAAACAAATTACATTATTTCACCATAAATACATAAATTTATGAACAATTAGTTCAGGGATAATTGATTTCTTACATGAGGGCATTAATTGTACAATTTTTAATAAATTCTTTCTACTTGAAGCACCTTAGTAGTTAAAGCTTAAAAAATGTCAAAGTATTTAAGATCTTGTTCTATAAACATGGTGCATAGCAAAATTCCTTATTTGAATTCGGGATTCAGGTTTGTTTTGAACACTATGATAGTCTAAAAGTGTTAACCAACATAATGTAGTCTTAAATGTACAATAATTAATGTTTAAAAACCTTACTCAGTTGGCATATCTACAGGATTAGCATTAGATTTTGCCTGTAACATCTCTACCAGCTCCAGCTTCCATTGTAAACGATATACCTGCCAACATCCTAGAGCAAATGATGTCACCGGAATCATCTGCAGCAAATAAGAAAAAATAATTGACATACTTAAGCTCACCTTAGGGAAATGTAAGCAACAAAACATCATCTGTGAAATTTTCAACTGTCTAACTATGACGGTTCATGTGATATAGCCTGGTGACAGACGGACGGAGAGACAGACAGACAGACAGCGGAGTTTACTAATAGGTCTCGTTTTACCCTTTGGTTACGGAACCCTAAAATTGACATTCAAAAATTAAAAATAGAATGACGTACCAATAAAATCCATTTTAAAAATTCTCCACCCTCTTCTTTCTTTTGTTTTTGGGATTTAATTACATTTGCGTAAGTGTAGTTACATTTCACAAACTTAATCAACGTTGTTCTTCGATTGATAAAACTAATTTTATTAATATTTTGCGTGAGTCTACATAATCTACTTAGCATTCTGAATTCTGTATTAATAGTGTTAAAAGTTGAAAGTTTGAAACGATAGCGTGAGGTTTTTGCCAAATGATGAACCGTAGATAATACCAAAGAGTACTTTTATATTTTGAATACCTGGATAATACCATTGATAAAAGAATATAAGAGGATAAGCCCTATGCATATACAATTTCTCGTTATACAAATATGATGCAAATATACACCTCAATTACAAAAACATATCTCCCTCACTCTAACGCGTTGTAATTTACAAATGTAAATAAAGTAATTTTAGATAGATTTAATCCAGTAAAAATATGATCAATAAAGATTTTATAAAAAAGAAAAAAATAATAAAGTACAGTGTGTGTCAGGAATTTCAAATTTTTGTTTTAATTTTCCGTTACGTCACTAAGCCCCGCCTTGAAGCACATTTTATGACATGCCGCCATTTTAGGTCTACACTTTTCCTTTTCTAAGTACTTTGACTGTCATATAATTGCTGTTCGAAAATTATTTTCATTTTAATTGTGAATAGTGTGTGTTCTGCTAATTTCTGAAGTGTTTGTAAAGATAAGTGGAAAAAAATGTAACATGGCAAAGTGTTGCATCACAGGATGTTATTCAAATGCTGGAAAAAACAACGAAGGATTGACATTTTTAGGTTAGTTCTAGTTTTTGTATTTTTTTTTTACTTTTTCGTATGTGATATATAATATATAACAGAAATGTGGTATATAACAGAAATTGTACATAAATTGTTATCGGTTATTTTTTATTCTTCTAACTACAACTAACAAGTAAAATAGTCAATAAGTAAATATTTGCAATGTTTACATGAAAACGTAGTGTTGTTCATAGCATGGTTGTTTGAAAATTTTATCGAGACTTTATTTTTTTGGCTCTACTCGTCAAAGTATCAAGTACCACGAAGTAGTATTGATAGTCAGATTAAAATGAAATAACACAATTATACATCATTTAGGGACATCGAAAATATGAAGTATAATTGTGTTTTTGGTAATAAGTCTTCTGTAATGTATTTAATTAATATTTAATTTTTTTTAGATTTCCGAAAAATGAGGCTCTCCGCAAATTATGGATGGAAAACATGTCACTGAAAATATAAAACCTGCAAGAGTCCTCAGAATATACTCCTAACATGTTGAGGCAATTTGAGTAAATAGAACATTGGGTTTGGTGCGCTTAAAAGATGATGTGGTGGTACACTCTTCCCTGTAAGTATTTATTCTGTCAAGTCTTGTTGTTGTTCCATATGTTTTATGATAAAGGCCTATTAATAGTTTTGCATATTATGATGTTTCATATGTGTTGAAAAGCTTATATTATGTCGAATATGTGATTCTGAACAGCAAGCGTTGTTTTGGCCTCTATATAAATTCGTATTTGATTCATTTGACTGAAAATGTATTTATAGTAAGTACACACTAGAGTACACTATTCTCCCTTGTGCAAGTTTCTTTTAGTTCTGATAAAGGTTCAATCATAATAGTACATAATAACTATTTTGAACCTACAGCGGTATTGGCAATGAGAACTGATAATACTGGGACTAATAGTACTACAACAACTGTTACTGGGAATATTACTCTGCTAGAGGTATTTATGTATATTGAGTATAAATCTGTTTCGAAATTAATTCTATTCTTGCATCAATTGTTGATCTACCTTTACCTAATCTCAACCGGTGCTAGAAAATAAAATTTTATCCGCCTCATTTTCATTATTTTTGACATTTTCCTTATTTATAACATTTCATGCAGTTTTAGCTTTATTTTAGGACAATTTTATTTTATTACTTAAGCAATCGGCTTTAGCTGAAGTGCAGACTTTAAGAGGATTTTGAATATTTTTTATCACATGAAAATTAGGAAAACATTTACTTAGAGCTTATGATTAATAGAAAATCGTAGTTGCCCATACACTATAATAAATTTAATTGCTTAATTATATTTTTTTTTTGAAAGAATTTTATCATTATGAGTTAATTTTACCAAGGTTAGCTTGTGCTTAATTATATCTCTAAATTTCTTAATTCTGTATTTAGTTACAAGCCATATTATATTCATTCATAATAACATTAATTCTGTTTTTAATGTGAAAGTCTATTTTAAAGGTTTTATGATGTACTATTACACCACTCACAAATTTATAATTTACTTTAATATTATCTCACAGCACAGAATGGAATTATTCTTTATTAATTATTCTCTCTTATATTGTAAGTTGCAATTAAGATTAAAAGTTTTGAGAAGTGAGAGAAATTTGACTTGATCTGGTGAATCTTGATTTATTATTATTATGGGGATATTTATTTGTTTTTTATTTTGGATATTTTTATTTGGTTGGGTTCATAAAAATAAAAGTAAACATATAGATATATATAGCATAGCATACATAAAATTATTATTGTTAATGTATAATTTTAATAATTTGCAACATGCACCAATGGATATTGACGTTAGTCCCATCTGTATTCACCCGACAAATATGGACATAGATACTACAAACAGACTCAAACAAAAGACGGTAAATTCAGGTGAAAACTGTTATGGTGAGTATTTCTTCTAACTTCAATTTAAACAATAGCATCATCGTCTTTAAATAGTATCCTACTTATTAAAGGCTGGCACAATACGTTAATTTCAGTACATATTTTGATGAAATTTAATAGCATCAACCCTATGTATGTTCTACTGCAGAACACGAATCTCCCCTGTTAATTATCTCCCTAGCCTTATGTATAAAATAAAATGTTTATTGTAATTTCACGTTAATTTTTAGGTTATGGCAGTTAATGCAACCAAAATGTCCAAAAGTTATGCAGACAAGTGAAGTTACAGCAAAGGAAAATAAAGATAGTCAGAAATGCCGCAGACTGCAGAAGGTGTCGACATTTCAAACGATTATTAACGATTTGAAGAAACATCATTTAATTAATTAATTTAGTCAATTAGTTAATTTAGTTTCATAGAAAAAAAACACTCAGAAAATATATCAAAGCGCAACTTTTTAACAAAATTAATATTATTCCGCCATGAATAAACGATTTTAATCAATATACTAATTGTTTTTTTATTTTATTTAACTATTTATGACAATAACCTATTTTATGTTACAATGCTGATAGCAAATACCAGGTTTTGTTTACATTACCCTTACATTAGGTTACATTATTTTTTTTGACGACGGCTTCACCGTCGTCACTGGACGAAAAAAGAAGGGCAAGGAACGCCCCGCCGTAGATAGCGACCCCGAAAGCGAGGCCGCCACCTCAATTAATAGATCCACTGCGACGCCCGCCAAAAAGGCGGCCGCGGCAGTCCAACCGGTACCCGAATACGCCGCCGAAAGAAAAGCCAAGCCTCCTCCGCCTATCATCATCCAGGAGAAAGCTAAATGGCATCAAATTTGCGTGTGGTTCGAACGCCACAATATTCGAGACCCCCGGTCGAAGAACACCCATCAAGGTATCCGTGTATACCTCGATAGCATCGATGACTTCCGCCGCGTCACTAAATATTTACGCGAAAACAAAGTAGGTTTCCATACCTACTCGCTGCCTGAAGAACGCAAACTTCGGGTAGTCATAAAGGGAATCCCGAAAGAGTCGGATGTCGACAATGTAAAAACGACATCCGCACTCAGGGATACCCGGTGCACGCCGTTCGTCGCCTACGTCACCCCAGAACCCGTGTCCCGATGGACATTGTAATGGTGGAGTTGGACCCTACCCCGGAAGGTAAGGCAATTTTTTATTTGAAGAGGCTCTGTAGGCTTAGCGAACTCGTCGTTGAGCCTCCACGGAAGTCAGGCGTTGTTGCGCAGTGTCATAACTGCCAACACTATGGCCACACAGCCCGCAACTGTTTTGCTCACCCTAGGTGCGTCAAATGCACCGGTGACCACGGCACGACAGATTGCACGCGTCCTAAAGATTGCGCAGATCCACCGGACTGCGTAAATTGTTTGACTACCGGCCACCCGGCTAGCTACAGGGGCTGCGCTAAAGCTCCAAAAACCCCCGCGAGGAAAGCACCCGCAAAAATTACGCTCGCGAAAATCGCGGTTCCAAAATCCGCGCCGGCGAAGTACATTCCCGCGCCCGCACCCGTCGTAAACGCCTGGGCGAAACCTCAGGCAGTCGCGCAGGTAGCCGCGCCTCCGGTCGCCTCACGACCGACGACATTCCAACCGCAGCCTGTCAAACAACAAGCAACGAGGCCGCAGGTGCATTTTATTACACCGGTCGTTTCCGCGAACCAAGACGACCTTTTTGCCCAAATGGCAAACATCTGCAGCTTCCTGGAACGCATAAACCGGGAAGAGCTCGCCGTCCTATCTACAAAGTTATCGGCCGCCACATGTGGCACCGATCGACTTAATGCGCTCAACGAGCACAAAAAACTTGTAGACGCCCTTTGGGTGTTTACAAATTAACCATAAAGGTTTATAGTCCGGGCAATAAAACCGCGC